AAAATACTCTTTATGTAAAATATACACGGCCACTTATGATGTGTAAATTTTTTTCATCTCCAGCAGTCTATTAAGATACATTGCCATATCACCAATATGTAAAAGGGTTGTGTATTTTACACAACATTTTTACACTACCAGATCAACATATTTCCTTTCTCATCCCTTTTTCTCGTTCCATTAAAAAATCAACCATATATTAAGTAGGTTTGTAAAAGTTATGTGGGATCCTGGCATGACACATAGTTAATTATTATTGGGAGATATATTTTTACACAAAAGGTATAAAACAACCGTTGGGGTTAAAATTAAATAATCCAAAATTTTTGTGTAAATTCATCATGACACATCAGATTTACAAAAAAAAAAATATACACAACAGTTAGAAATGTTCTAATGGACTTGATTCTAAATCGGTGTAATGTAACAAAATGGTTATCACCATCATCAATTTTTGTTGACATCATACAAAAATACACTTATATGATGCTTTTTATAATAGAATTCAATAAAAATATGTTTTTAGTGAATTTTGTCCTTATTAAATACACTTAATAATTATTATTTTCCTAATTGATACTTAATAATTATTTGTTAAATTAATGAATAATAATATATTTAATCAAGAAATAAATGAAAATTTATAACATATATAACATGTGAGAAGCAAGGGTTATTGTAAATTTCATAATGTACTTTAGGGTAATTTTTTTTTCCCAGTATTTTACTTAAGAGTAATTTGAACTCCATGTATGAATACTAAAAATTGACATGTAATTACTTTTACCTAATTTTTAGTATTTACATTTTAGTAATTAAGACTTCCTAACATGTTTTTTTTATTATTAAATTAACCCATGATTTTAATTGTATATACTAAAATGATGAAATAAGATTTGATTCGACGTCAAATAATTAGCCATATATATCACTGTAATACAATTTTTTCTGTAAGAATTTCTTGAATTATATCCTACCGTTAATATATCCAAATCTCTTTGATAAGTTTCTCCACCAGTTTTCAATGCAATTTATGTTAAGTCAGCACTCTAATAGCAAGAAGGATTGAGCAGTACTAGTTGGTACAATCACACATATATATATATATATATATATATATATATATATATATGTATATTTGATTTGTACATCAAGAACGTATGCAGATACGTCACTGTTAATAGCTCCTGTTCAAATTTCCACCAGCCTATATTTACACAAAAAAAACATATATACACCAACCGCTGAGTTGAAAATAAATAATTTAAAATTTTTGTGTAAATTTATTATGATACATGGATTTACACAATATATATACACACACACACACACACAACACGATTGAAGATGCTCTAAGATACATTGTCTCGTCATTAATATGTAAAATTATTGTGTATTTTACCCAATCTTTTTATATAGCCACATCAGCATAATCAACCCTATATTAAGTAAATTTGTAAAAGTTATGTGGTTTTTGGCATGCCACATGATTCTGTGGGATATATTTTTACGCAAAAGATATAAAATAAGGAGCTAAAAATAAATAATCTAAATTTTTTATGTAAATCTATCATGACACATCATATATATATATATATATATATATATATATATATATAATAATTGGAGATGTTCTTAACAGACAGTTGGAAACAAAAAATAAAAAAAAACATACACATCATACGTAACCGTATATATTTTACACAAAATAATATTTTAACAGATTACTAGAGATGCTCTAACATGTCTTTTTAATTAAATTAACCCATGATTTTAATTGTATATACAAATTAAGATTGACTTCAAATAATTAATGATATACTACGTATATCAGTGTAATACAATTTTTCTTCAAGAATTTTTGAATTATATCCTACCATTAATATATCCAAATCTCTTGATAAGTTTCTCCACGAGTTTTCAATTCAATTTATGTTCCGTCAGCACTCTAATAGTAAGAAGGATTGAGGAGTGACACTCGTCGGTACAATCACGTTTGTGTGTGTGTGTACTGTGTATATATATATATATATATATATATATTTGATTTGTACATCAAGAACGTATGCAGATACGTCACTGTGTTTGTAGGTCCGGCTCAAATTTCTGTCAGCCTGGGGAAAAATAATTACTTTATTAGTGGGTCAAATGCTATTACTTTTAACACAAGTTTAAACACGCCCTATTACTTTTAACACAAGCACGTCTCTACTTTACCAAGTTCAACGAGTCACTTTCTATTTCACGGTTGTATTTGTCTCATGTGACACTGTTTAATGAGTAGAAAGAAAATTTGAGGTTGTGATTCAATTCTCATAATCCAATAACAAATAAATTTAAGATATATTTACTTTATGTTTTGTCACCTAAAGTCAATACACACTACCATGGTTAGTAGAAAATTTCAATTTGAATAGTATTATTACGAGTAGTTTTTCTTTATTTCTTTTGTTAAATATTTTATTTATTCTTTACTTGGGAGTCTAAATATGCGATTTTGTTCATTATGCATGTTGATTGATTATGATTTTTTATTTATTGTTACATGTGTGATGAATTTTTTTTTTTGACACAGTCTTATAAAATTAGTCAGAATCATATAATAATTTATCATTACTCTCTATCCAACTATAATTTTTGCAACAAGTTCGTATTCAATTTGATTTTGTACGAGTTAAACGATGATAGTCAAAAGCTCAACCACCATTAATTGAGCCCCTCCCTTTTAACAATTTAGTGGACTTTTGAATGTACATTTTCCTCCGCATATCTGCAAAAATCTTGAAAGTTTCTTTCTTGGCAATTTCCTCCAAAGACGAAAAGTGAGAAAGAGGGCAAGGCATCAAAGGGAGATATATACACACACACACACACACACACGACCCAATGTATGTAATTGTACCATAAATTCAACTATATGATTCATATCCTTATATTCATCGTAACTATTCTCATTTATTTATGTATAATTATAGATATAGAAAAATAAATAGGGTCTATAATTTTTTTGTGAATGAAAAAATTAATTTATGGAAGAAAAGAAAAGAAAAATCATACATACATAGTGTGTGTGTGTATATATATATATATAAGTAAAACAGGTATGAGTGGGTAATATATAAAGTGGTTCACGTGTATACATGATGTAAAAGAACATCGATCTCATCTTCAGCCAACATCATGTTTGAGCTTGTCCTTTATCAACGATTGTAGTTTGCACCTGGAAGCAACAGAAGTGGGCCCTCCGATTATGGTTCCCAGCTCACTTCAATCTGTTGCGTAAATAGTAAATACCATAATATGGAAATATATATCTGTATATTTATATATATATACAATTTCCTAGCCTTTTTTATTTTCTTTTTTAAGTACTTTATTCTCTTGTGAACTAAAGGTGGTTAATGATATATGGAAATTGTTAAATTAGACAATTTCAGATTAATTATATTAGTGTAATATTAATAAGTTTTATTTAAAAATTATCCATTCTACTTAATTTGCAATAAGTTTAAGAAAATATAAAAACACTATTTACATTTTCTTTAAAATAATAGACAGTAATTTAATTGCCTTAGGAATTAATGTATAAGAGAGTTAATAAATTACAAAGTACAAAAGATATATAATTCTATTTATTTGATAACTATTATAATATACAAAACATAATTAATTTATTAAAAAAATTATAATTAATATGAGAATTCTGCTATTCTAGCCAAACAGTCTGGTCAAGTGTCAGGCAAAATTATTTGGGGAGCCTTAAATTACATTATAGTATGTCGAATTTCATTCTAATAGTTCAAAGAATTAATTAATCCTTTTTTTTAACCAAAATTAATCCTAATATCATTCAACTACTCTTTACTCTTCAAACATAAATTGTTGAATTGACCAGACGTGCATGCAATGCTTTCATAAAACTGATAAATCTGAAACCTCATCACCTTAATTAATTAGGCACTTATTCCAAAGAGAGATATTTTTTATTAGTAGTTATTACCCATTAATTTGTGGTGAGGAAAGGAGAGACTCATATATAAATATGTATAAAAGACTAAATGAATCAAAATTACTTAAAAATCTCTAGCAGTTTTGATTTGGTTAAAAATAATAATAATAAAAAATATATATAAAATAAAAAAAAAAAAATTAGACTAAACTTAAGTTACATACAAGTGTGAAAGCGACAAATTTTAAATTATATAGAACGTGCGGAGCATAAGAACAACCCAATTATAAGAATGGTGTGATTTAGATTTGAGCTATTCCAAATCAAACTAAACCATTCATAATAATTAAATATTTAAACAATATATTTCACACATTAATTATATAATAAACGTGTTCAATATTTAAACAATATATTCACACTTTAAACTAATTTTATTCTATTACCTTATAAATTAATTGCCAACACCCTTGTCTGGCTTGGGCTTCACAAAATGGTTCAAATAGCAACTGTCCTGTATTCCTTGAATTCCAAAATTCTTGAGCCATTTTTGGAACTAAAATTCCTTCAATTGAAATTTTTTCTTTTAAGATCACAAAGCAATTCATTTAAAGTGGTGATACTTTAAATGAATTTCTTTTAAAGTAATATTAGTTGGGAAAAATTAATTTTTTTAAGTTGAGAAATACTGTAAGAATTTTTGGTACATTCATAAATGAAAAGATGATCAAAAATTTTAGGAGGGAGAGAGTAAATTGTAAAATCATACGAGAAATATATTTTTTTAAAAAAAAGGTTGGTAAGTATGGAATTAAAAGTTTAGTTAACATGACCACACCCACACCATTCATGTCATATTAGTTGCAAAAATATCCATTAATAATAATATCCTATAACAGTATTAAGGAAAAAAAATCTTAAGCTTGAGCTTGTCGTCATTAATGACGACATCTGAGAAAGATTAAAGTCAACTGTGGCTCTATCTATCGTCTGCACCAGCACATATACAATGAATATCATTTTCATTTATATATTAAATTACCACACACACATGCTACTTATAGACTAACCACCCAAAATAACTAGTATATATATGTGACTTCTCTGTATTCCTCTAACTGAAACAATTTTGGAAGCAACCAACAATTGAATAACACACCATCATATATCAGAGAGTTTTTATAATTTTATGGTTTTTTTTTGTTAATCATTTGAGAGAGAGAGAGAGAGACAACAAAATTAAGCATGTCTATGGACAAGAAGAAAAATGGTTCATTTCGATCCATTTTCATGCAAGCGGACGGTGCTGATTTGTTATTGATGACTCTCGGCTTCATCGGAGCCGTCGGTGACGGTGTTTCCATGCCGGTCGTATTGTTTGTCACTAGCAAGCTCATGAACAATCTTGGCGGCGCTTCCTCCTCCGCCGCCGATGTTCTCACTCATAACATCAACAAGGTCGATCTCTCTCTAGATATACATAGTGTATATATATATATATCTACACACACGTAAATTTAATGTAGATACAGTTATATATATATATATATATAGCTAACTAGTTTTGGTTTTTGGGTTACAGAACGCAGTGGCTCTATGTTATGTGGCTTGCGGGCAATGGGTTGCTTGTTTCCTTGGTGGGTTAAACTCTAATATTATATACATATATATATATATATATATATATATATTTGGTGATCAGAAGAACTAATAGAAGTTTTCATGTGCATTTTTTTTTTTTTTTTTTTTTTGACAATTTTAGAGGGATATTGTTGGGCAAGAACAGGAGAGAGACAAGCTTCAAGAATGAGAGCAACGTATCTGAAAGCAGTGCTAAGACAAGATGTGGGTTACTTTGATTTGCACGTGACAAGCACGGCCGAAGTCGTCACAAGCGTCTCAAGCGATAGTCTAGTAATTCAAGATGTTATCAGTGAAAAGGTTAGTATTATTTCATAAAAATGATCTATAATCTAATCACTTCTCACCTCTCCACCTTACCTATCATAGAACTGTACTACAATTGTTGAGAGTCAAAAAAACCTATCGATAATCACAACCGTCCAAATTTCACGTCTCTTAGTCGGTTATCAATTCGGAACAAGTTTAGAGTTTTTCTTTAAAAATTGATCTTAAATTCACAATATACAGGTACCAGTTTTCTTGATGAACTTTTCAACATTCGCCGGGGCCTATATTGTGGCATTCTTAATGCTATGGAGACTAGCAATTGTGGGATTTCCTTTCGTTGTACTTTTAGTCATCCCAGGTCTTATGTATGGAAGAGCTCTGATGGGGTTGGCGAGGAAAATAAGGGACGAGTACACAAAGGCTAATACTATAGCAGAGCAAGCCATCTCTTCGATCCGAACGGTTTATTCGTTTGTCGGAGAGAACAAAACCATTAATGAATTCTCAGCAGCTCTTCAAGGGACTGTGAATTTGGGACTCAAGCAAGGGCTGGCTAAAGGCTTGGCCATTGGCAGCAACGGCGTCGTGTTCGCGATTTGGTCGTTCATGTCTTATTATGGTAGCAGAATGGTGATGTACCATGATGCTCGTGGAGGCACTGTTTTTGCTGTTGGTGCCGCAATTGCCATCGGTGGATTGTAATTATCTTCCTCTTTCTCTCTCTTACCTTATCTCTCTGATTCATTCATTTATTTATTTATTTGTTGTTTCCCACTAAATTCATAAATGGGTTCTCTGTTTTGCGCATGAATCTTTAATGGGTATCCGATATTTCTTCAGAAAATTTACTTTGCATGGCTTGGAAAAAGAAAAAAGATAAAACAATAAAAAGTACAGTTGTTTCACTTAAATTTTCAGTTTTTGTCGTGTCTGTTTGATTATGACTAAATTTATTATGCTTTTTTGTTTTATTGATCTTTTTTCACTAAATCTATAACTACTCAAGTACAGAGTATTTGTACCAAATATGTTTTTTTGTTTATTTTAGAAACAAAATCATGTCATGATCAAATACGCAAATGCTGTGGAATCTTTAGCTGTCACAATCCGTTCTGCAACAGTGTTACTATTCGTCAAACATATTTATTTAAATTTAATATATTGAAAACATATTTAATTATGTTGAAAAATTAAATAAAAAATAAATAAAAATTACAACAACAACAGAGTACACTGCTTGTGCATGTCCTCTGAGGCTCTGTGTTTCAGTGCATCCACTTGACATATGATTTTAATTTACTAAAATTCTGTTGTTTGTTTTTCTTGATTAGGTCATTGGGTTCTGGTTTATCCAACTTGAAGTACTTTTCAGAAGCGACAGCAGCTGGAGAGAGAATAATGGAGGTGATAAAAAGAGTGCCCAAGATCGATTCCGACAGCACGGAAGGCCAGATCCTAGAGGCAGTCTCAGGGGAGGTGGAATTCAGGCACGTCGAATTCGCGTACCCGTCCCGACCCGAATCCACCATCTTCAGGGACTTCAACCTGAGAGTCCCGGCGGGAAAGACGGTGGCATTGGTGGGAGGGAGTGGGTCCGGGAAGTCGACAGTGATATCGCTGTTGCAGAGGTTCTATGACCCACTTGGTGGTGAGATTCTTGTGGACGGGGTGGGGATAGATAAGCTACAGCTCAAGTGGGTGAGGTCACAGATGGGGCTGGTGAGCCAAGAGCCAGCTCTGTTTGCCACCACCATTAAAGAGAACATACTTTTTGGGAAGGAAGATGCTGGCATGGAAGAGGTGATCGAGGCTGCAAAAGCTTCTAATGCTCATAACTTCATCTCTGAGTTGCCTCAGGGATATGATACTCAGGTTTGTTTTGTTCTGCTCTAATTTGTCCCCATAATGCCCTCCTTGTCCATACACTCATAAAAGCTCCTGTAAATGTTACGGGGTTAAGGGATTGAATTTTAGGCTTCACTTCCCAAAGAAAATAAATTATTAAAAAAAAAAAAAAAAATTGGTACTCATCCCTAGGTAGAGAGTGTTGAAATTAATAGCACCAAATCAGAGAGTCCAATAAAGTTTGCCTAGTGCATTTAGGTGTGGTCTTAAGTGCCCCTTCAAGTAAAAGATAGGGCAATGGATACTTATTATTCGGATATTGTCGGTCAATGGATGCTTATTATTCTTCTTGCGAGGATCGGACATTATAGTTTCAGATATTTCTCTATGTCCACTAACAAAAATACACTATATTAACTTTTTGTCGTATTTGTTATAAGTTGGAGGGATAAATTTCACTAAGTGGGCAGCATATTTGATATGTCGGCACACCCAATCCCACTCAAGTGTATAAACGGAGAGTCCTTTATCCATCAAAGAGAATATCAATTATAACATGCTCGTTATATAAATAGGAAAGAAAATACTTAGATCCGAAATGACAAAAGAGAGACAAAGCGTGTGCCTATATACCTTATAGACTACTTATGTTATACAGTACAAGTTGAGGACTTCAACCTATACACTTGCAATATTGACCCCACCACTTAAAATTATTTCTTTTAAAACATATTAAGAAAATAACAATTCAGTCTAATTAAAAATGTAACCAGTAAAATTCATGTTAAGTTTAGTAATATATCATCTATTTTTTCATTAATTTAATTACTATAAATAACATTACTTTATTTATTAACATTGAAGCATCTTTAAAAATATATATATAACTATTTTTTTTAAACACTATTTTTTTTTAAGAGTTTAATAGGAATACGTTTCTCTTTGGGCAGCAGTGACATCTTTTCTCATATTGATTGTAAAAAAGCAAGTGGGTCTTGATATTATATTTGGGAAAGTCATTAAAACAATGAAATAAAGGCATAGGAATCTGTGGGAGACATAAAGGCATTTTACGCCACAAGACACTATTTGTTTTTTAATGTGACTACAGTGCTCCTACTTGAAGTATAAATCTAGTTTTACTAATTGAAGTATAAATCTAGTTTTACTTGGACATAGGTACATTCTCTTTTTACCCTTTTAGGAATTACTTTAGAATTAAATAAGGATGTCCAAAACAAGGCATCACTTGTTCACACACATAACGCAATCAAATACTATATAATGTGTGTTTTCAAAAAGTCAACTATTCAAATTAACAAAATTTTGATATGAAAATAGAGGGAGTGACTCTCTCACGCATAGTTGACTAAATAATTCTTAATAATTAATTTTTAAACAAACCTTACAATTCAGTCTTAAGGAAATTTTTTCTAAGTAACTTTATTACATGTTCCAAAGCGATTAATCCAATATTTTAGAACTATCCTCATTTTTTTTACATAGTAATATTCTCATTTAATCCCATATCTTATTACATTATAATGATATAATTTCTATCTTATTTACTTTTTAGTCAGAATTTTTTTATAAAGTAAATTTTTGTATTTGTGTAATTATTGTAGGTGGGTGAAAGAGGAGTTCAAATGTCTGGAGGCCAAAAACAGAGGATCGCCATCGCACGAGCCATCATCAAGGCACCCCGCATCCTCCTACTCGACGAGGCCACCAGCGCCTTGGACTCGGAATCGGAGCGAATCGTCCAAGAAGCGCTGGACAACGCCGCCGTCGGCCGCACCACCCTCATCATCGCCCACCGCCTCTCCACTATCAGAAACGCCGATCTCATTGCCGTCGTCCAGAACGGCCAGGTCATGGAGACCGGGTCCCACCACCACCTCATCCAACACCAAAACGGCCTCTACGCCACCCTCGTCCGCCTCCAACAATCCAACAAAGACGACGACGTCCCATGCACACCAACAACATCCTCCATCACAAACACTGATACCGTAAACAACACGAGCAGTCGTAGACTGTCAATGGTCAGCCGCTCCAGCTCAGCTAACTCTGCTAGCGCGTCGGGCATAGCTGGAGGAGGAAAGAATACTTCTATTACTAATACAGTTACTGAAGATCAAGTTTTTCCGGTACCATCATTTCGGAGACTTTTAGCTATGAATTTACCGGAGTGGAGAGAAGCGAGTTTGGGGTGTGTGAGTGCGGTTCTGTTCGGTGCAGTTCAGCCGGTTTATGCATTCGCCATGGGGTCAATGATTTCGGTCTATTTCTTGCCGGATCATGGTGAGATAAAGTCCAAGACGAGGATATATTCACTGTGTTTTCTAGGGTTGGCTGTGTTTTCGCTTGTGATCAATATATGTCAGCACTATAACTTTGCGGCCATGGGAGAGTACTTGACCAAGAGGATTAGAGAGAGAATGCTGTCCAAAATACTCACTTTTGAGATTGGGTGGTTCGACCAGGATGAGAATGCCAGTGGTGCTATTTGCTCTAGACTTGCCAAAGATGCCAATGTGGTACGTTTTTTATTATTCTGTCCCTTTCTCTGGTTCAATTTAACACAGATAGATACATATAGATATAGATATATAAAAAGGGTTCTGTTGCACTTTCACTATTGTAAGGTTGGAATTATTTGACCTACGTAATTTTATCTTCGTATACGAAGATAATAATGCTTAAATCTGATCTATCCAAATTTTACAATGACGAACGTCTTGTACACGAAAAAAACCTTTGATGTCCTATATTACTTACATGTATTTATTCTCTCACCTTCTATTTTAAATAATAAAAAAATAAAAATAAAAATAAAAATAAAAAATTATCACTAAATTACAAAATCTTACATACATGATTAATTAGCATATAAGGTTGGCCAAAACATGAAAAGAAACAAAAAGCTAGCTGGCCAACTGATAAACTCAAAAGGGATTTTTTTTTTAGTAATAGCTTCCCAAGCCGTAGGCTAATCCAGGTAAGGTTTTGTTTAGCGTAGGCTAATCCAGGTAAGGTTTTGTTTAGTTTTAACCATATTTAAGAGTGACGTACACTGTATATACATATGTATATACTTTTTCGAATCTATGAGGGGATATAAAATCTTTAACCACTAATTTCTTAGATTTTATTAGATGCTGCACTGTCTTTTAGTTGATCAATTATTGGGTGCAGATATATAATAATATACACACACCCATTATTGATTAATTGACTAATTTCACGTTAACTATGATTATGCACGTTATTGAAGAATAAAATATAAGATTAATTACTGTTTATCTTCTAACAACCTTACTAAGAGTGTGTAGGTCAAGAAACTTAATGGATAAAGACTCCTTCTAGAAATGTAGTTCTTTAGATTTAATAATAAAGACTCCCAAGTATTTCTCTAGTGGTCAAGAGTATATATATTATTAAAACGTGCATGTATTTAAATTTTAAATTATTAAAACGTGCATGTATTATTAAAACGTGCATTAGTGTGTGAGAGTTTTATTCCTTTTTTTAAGTCAGTTGATCGATATTGAAATAGACTGGACACCTCCATAGGTTGATAACTAATGTACGTTTTAACAATCAAATGGTTAGGCCACGTTATATTCCATCTACCTTATTTGACATTGAAAAAAAAAACAAAAACATCACAGGACAGAAAAATAAAATATTAAAATTAAAAACTAACGTTTGTTGAAAGGCAAACCATATTAGATGTGTTTTTTTTTTTGGTGATCAGAGTTGACTAGTGACTATAAATTTTCATTTTTTTATTTTAATCGAAAAACATAATTTGGAGTAGAAGCCCAACTCTTGAGGCCCATACCTCATGACATTGGGCCCATAATCACCATTTCTATAGTTACAATCTAATATTACTTTTCTTTTCACAATTGGGCAGGTGAGATCTTTGGTGGGCGATCGAATTGCCCTCATAATCCAGACCGTCTCAGCAGTAACAGTTGCTTGCACAATGGGCCTGGTCATTGCATGGAAGCTCGCAATCGTCATGATAGCGGTCCAACCTCTCATTATCATATGCTACTATTGCAAGCGCGTCCTGCTCAAGAACATGTCCCAAAAGGCCATTAAGGCCCAAGATGAAAGCAGCAAACTCGCTGCTGAGGCTGTGTCCAATCTCCGGACCGTCACTGCCTTCTCTTCCCAGGCCCGTATCCTCAAAATGCTCGAAAAAGCCCAAGAAGGCCCACGCCGCGAAAGTATCCGCCAGTCATGGTTCGCGGGTATCGGGTTAGGGACCTCCCAGAGCCTTATGTCATGCACTTGGGCTCTCGACTTTTGGTACGGCGGCAAACTCATTTCCGACGGTTACATTGGCGCCAAAGCCCTCTTTGAGACATTCATGATCTTAGTGAGCACCGGTCGTGTCATTGCCGACGCCGGTACCATGACCAACGACCTCGCCAAAGGCTCCGATGCAGTCGGGTCAGTTTTTGCTGTATTGGATCGGTATACTCGGATTGAACCCGAAGACCCAGATGGTCGCAAGCCCGAAAAGATCACTGGCCACGTGGAGCTTCGTGACGTGGACTTTGCATACCCAGCTAGGCCTGATGTGATGATCTTTAGAGGCTTTTCAATCAAAATCGAAGCGGGAAAATCAACGGCGTTGGTTGGACAAAGTGGGTCCGGAAAATCAACCATCATTGGATTGATTGAAAGATTTTACGACCCACTTTCTGGGGCAGTTAAAATTGACGGTTCTGATATAAGATCATACGATCTAAGATCACTAAGGAAACACATTGCACTTGTTAGCCAAGAGCCCACATTATTTGCTGGTTCAATACGTGAGAACATCATATATGGAGCGTCTGATAAGACTGATGAATCAGAGATCATCGAGGCGGCGAGAGCAGCAAACGCTCACGATTTCATCGCGGGTTTAAAAGACGGATATGATACGTGGTGCGGGGACAGAGGAGTACAGCTCTCTGGGGGCCAGAAGCAACGTATTGCAATAGCCCGTGCCATACTGAAAAACCCAGCCGTGTTGTTGCTTGATGAGGCCACGAGTGCACTTGACAGCCAATCAGAGAAGATTGTGCAAGACGCGCTTGAGCGCGTGATGGTGGGGAGGACTAGTGTGGTTGTCGCTCACAGGTTAAGTACAATACAGAATTGTGATATGATTGCTGTGCTGGACAAAGGGAGGGTTGTGGAGAGAGGGACCCACTCTTCTCTCATAGCTAAGGGACCCACTGGAGCTTACTACTCTTTGGTCAGCCTTCAGAGAACACCCAACACCAATTAGGGCCCACACAGTCAACTAAAGGTCGTCATTATAAGTTGGCTTATTAGGGTTTTGGTGGCCACATGATCTCAGTTAGTTCTGAAGGCCTAACAAATTCAAAAACTACCGAACACAACCAATATGTGAGCCAGAAAAATTTGTGAGAGCTTCGAACTTTAATTGTAATATATTTTACTATATGTAAATAGGATCATTACTTGATGAGCTAATAAAAAGGTGTCACGGTTTTAAGTATGTGTTAAATTATTTCTCTGTACATGTGTATACGTGTATGTAGGTATAAATGATAATTTTAAAATCTATATGTGGAGATAAATAATCACTTTACGTACATCTAATTCTCTTCAAATTCTATAATAACAGATAACTAAATAGCTAATCACGTGCACTTAGCTAGCGATTTTCCGATTTGTTCTACCCTTGGATTGTCCAAATGATCAAATTATAGGAAAGTCAAGATTGGTTTAAGATAGTTCCTTTTTTAATCAACCATGCCTTTTTTTCCTAGATTGAAAAATCTGTGTGCTCCCTTTTTATGATGTCACACCACAAAATGGTTTTCTCTACAATTCATAATATTAAATAACAAGTCTTCTCATGTCACACTACAAAATGATTTCTCTACAATGTGTATGTGTGTGTGTGGTTTCTCTGCAATTTATATTAAATGATGACTGGCCTTAATTGATGGCTAGTAGCCAACAGAGAAGGAAACATGAAATGGATGGTTTTATGGGAAATGAAATTGTCAACATAAGTACATGTGAACATGTACTTAAACTGCACCTTAAAGCCGTTAGAAATACCAATCAACATGGTTGACCTTTGAGTACTTCACGAGATGGAAGGGTTTAAAACTGGAAACACACGAGGCAATCAGTCAAACCCAAACCATAAAAAAGCTATATATGTTGTTTTTTTTGTTTTTTTAGTTAATTTGGTATTCGAAAAGGCATGAACTTTCAAGACCCTTAACAATCCGATTATTTTCGACCAAATGAAAAAAATAAAGGCATGATGATGATGTTATGTGGAAGGGAGGAGAGTTTAAATAGACCTTGAGAATGTGAAATTAAAAGATGTACTTATATTGTGCATTACTTGTGAATTTTTATATTGTTTTATAAAGAAAAATGGGTCATAAAAATTGTGTGTTTATATTGTGTAAATATTGAGGGTTATGTAGCATGGACACGAATACGAAACACGGATACAATACGACACAGATAAATTGATACGGGAAAATTTTAAAAAATTAAGACACGGGTACTACTTGAATACGGCTATATAAAAATATAAATTTTTATTTATATACATGTATTGAGTAATAGTACATATTATAAAACTTTAATTCATTTCTAATTTTTGTATTAAGAATTGTAATAACTTTATATTACATGTATAGTTATTTCACTACTTTGTCATAATAGTGTTTTTATTTTAAATGAACAAATATCATTTAATGCTTTGTTTGTAATAACCTGTGTAATGTCAATTTTTCTTATAGAAAAAGTTGAACACTTTATAATGTATTCATGTTATTTTAAAGATTATTGGATAAGTTTGTATTAGAAATGTTTGAAAGCTAGCGTAGACCTAAGTGTTCAAAAAGTATTGGGAATGTGTCAGAAAAGTATCTGAAGTAATAATAATTTTTTATTTTTTTTTTATTTTTTATTTTTTTTATTTATGGAGATGTATATGAAATGTTGAATAAGTATATGAGAATTATTCGACAGGTCTTAGTGTCTGACACGAACACGTACAACACCTTCGTAGTAGTGTCCGTACTTCATAGATGAAAAGATCTTTTGGGCTATCTTATTCTCTTTGGTTTGTCAATAATTAATAATAAAAATAATAAATCTACAATATATATATTGACTGTTGAAAAATATTTTCTAGTTGAATTCCCATGGATGACAGCTTCAACTTGACCTAGGTAGTTAGCATTCCCAATTAAATAAGTCAAGCACGTGCAACTTTTAAAGTAAAGATGTAAAAAATTGATAATTATGATAATTCAATATTGGTATTAAATTCTATCTCAATTTAATTTTTTATTCTAATGATTTCGTCATTTTACTTTGCTCTATTGTTTTCATTAAAGCTTGTGATTACCTATTTTACACAAGTTATGATCCGAACTAACGTTGCCAACCAAGAAACAATTATGTAAAATAACGAAATTTTACTTTTTTGGAATTAAATTGAGTTGAGGTTTATATGATAACTAAACCTCAACTAAATTTAATTTAATTTAATTTAATTTAATACATAAAGCTGAGCAAGTGCTTGTTAAAATTTTTATTTAATTTTTTAAACTCTTTTATTTTTATTAGACGTGAGAAACTAATGGTGGTAAAACTTTAAAAAGGGTTTTGGATTTGGTGAAGATATGTTTCTTAGTTTTAAATTTAATTTTTATTTGTGAGAATGATTTACCATCTTCTTTATCTATTTTACTGTGCATGACATGAATGGTGAATCTGTGTAATTTCATAGACACGATTAGTTATAGAGTGACTAAAATTATCAAATTGGAGTTAATTAAAAAAGATAGATAGCTAAGCAATTAAAATTGATATTGAAAATGAATAATTAAAGAAAGTAAGCAAATCCAAGAAAATGGTCATGAAATTAAAACAAGAGTTGTGGATTTGATGAAGAGACCACATTCTTTTTGTTTTTTAATAATTGCATACACCTATTTCACAGGGTACAACATGGAGGTTTGACATTTTAAAAACACATAAAAAGAAAACGAGTAATTGATCGTAATTTTTAGATGGTCATTTAATTTGTTAGGTTAAATTGAATTGAGTAAATACATGACTTTAAGTCAAGTTAGGTGGAATTGAATTTCATCCAAATTTACAGGAACTTTAATAATGAAAGGTTTTAAATACGCAGTACAAAGTATTTTATTTTAGATGGCAGGTATTCACCCATATAAGTGCCAATAACCTCTCTTCAAATAATATGCATAGGACCTATCTAACACATTATTTTTGTTAAATTCATGTTTACATTTTATAGAAAAAATATATATATTTTTCACAATCAATGAACCTTAATTTCCATCTTCGCGTTTCCTTAAAATATTTATTTACTCATCCTATGGACGGTTATTAGCTTAATAGAAATAATTGTTTTGTTCATTGTTGGATTAATAGTAATGATAAAAAATTTCAAACACATTCGATTATATTTATGTGAGTAAAAAATACCTAATGATGATATCATCATATTTAATAAATGTTATTACCATTTCTTCATCCAATGGATTGTTATTACCATTTACATTATGCCTTCATCTTTCTTTAAAAAATAAAAAAATTCCTAATCGGATGTTCTTTATTTCCTTAAATCTCAAATGCATGAGAGGTAATTTATAATTTTGATAAAAAAAAAAAAAAAAATTATATTGTAATTTATGAATTATAGTATTGTAACTTAAAACTTTTATACTAAACTTATTTATTTTCTCTTTTATCTTTAGTTCATATTTGAAAGGATAAAAAATAGCATGTAAAAGATGAAGAATGACTCTTCAAATAATATGCATACGACCTATCTAACACATTATTTTTGTTAAATTCATGTTTACATTTTATAGAAAAAATATATATATTTTTCACAATCAATGAACCTTAATTTCCATCTTCGCGTTTCCTTAAAATAATTATTTACTCATCCTATGGACGGTCATTAGCTTAATAGAAATAATTGTTTTGTTCATTGTTGGATTAATAGTAATGATAAAAAATTTCAAACACATTCGATTATATTTATGTGAGTAAAAAATACCTAATGATGATATCATCATATTTAATAAATGTTATTACCATTTCTTCATCCAATGGATTGTTATTACCATTTACATTATGCCTTCATCTTTCTTTAAAAAAAAAAAAAAATTACTAATCGGATGTTCTTTATTTCCTTAAATCTCAAATGCATGAGAGGTAATTTATAATTTTGATAAAAAAAAAAAAAATTTATATTGTAATTTATGAATTATAGTATTGTAACTTAAAACTTTTATACTAAACTTATTTATTTTCTCTTTTATCTTTAGTTCATATTTGAAAGGATAAAAAATAGCATGTAAAAGATGAAGAATGACTCTTCAAATAATACGCATACGACCTATCTAACACATTATTTTTGTTAAATTCATGTTTACATTTTATAGAAAAAATATATATATTTTTCACAATCAATGAACCTTAATTTCCATCTTCGCGTTTCCTTAAAATAATTATTTACTCATCCTATGGACGGTTATTAGCTTAATAGAAATAATTGTTTTGTTCATTGTTGGATTAATAGTAATGATAAAAAATTTCAAACACATTCGATTATATTTATGTGAGTAAAAAATACCTAATGATGATATCATCATATTTAATAAATGTTATTGCCATTTCTTCATCCAATGGATTGTTATTATCATTTACATTATGCCTTCATCTTTCTTTAAAAAAAAAAAAAAATTCCTAATCGGATGTTCTTTATTTCCTTAAATCTCAAATGCATGAGAGGTAATTTATAATTTTGATAAAAAAAAATATAAAAAATTATATTGTAATTTATGAATTATAGTATTGTAACTTAAAACTTTTATACTAAACTTATTTATTTTCTCTTTTATCTTTAGTTCATATTTGAAGGGATAAAAAATAACATGTAAAAGATGAAAAATGACTCATCTATCCAATTATCATTTACTTCATTATCTTTTCTCTCTCCGAAGGAAGAAAGATTATTCATTCTTTCCTATCTTCCATCCATCATCTTCCTTTCTTCCTATCAATAAAATATAAACCTTGTTTTTCTTATCGGATGGACCGTTATTTTCGTTAAATCTCGCCTTCAGGTTTCTTAATATTTTATTTTATTTTATTTTATGGACCATTATTTCCATTAAATCTTTGCCATCATGTTTCTTTATAAATAAATAAAAAAAACATCTTTGAATATGATGGACCATTATTTTTGTTAAAAATCCACATTTACATCTCTTAAAAATCATTTTATTTGCCTAAAGGACTATTATTGTTTTAAAAACCTTTATATTTTTTTATTTTTATTTTTTTAAAAATTTAAGAATATAGCCTAATGACAAAAATTCTCACCTCACATATTAAGTTTAAGGAGTTTGAATCCCTGTGAAGCTACCCTCATAAAATTTTCCCTACACCCAAGCAAGGATATGTGAAGGGCTTGGTGGGGGCAGAAAATTTTTATTATTATATTTTATACCTCTAAATTTATACCTTTTTAAATTTATGCTTCTAAAATTTTGAAATTTCACACACTGAAATTATGAAAAAACCCCTCTGTATAAATTTGCCCCCTTCATATGAATTCCTAGATCTGTCGCTACCTACACCACCATTGTCCAAAAAAAAAAAAAATAAAAAAAGAAAGAAAGAAAGAAAAACCTTTTTATTTGATGGATGGTTATTTCCATTAAAGCTCTCTTCACATTTCTCTAATAAAATTATTCTCCTAAAATGATGTTAGCTTTTTATTTGATGGATGGTTATTTTTCATTAAAGCTCTCATTCGAAAATAATCATTCCCCTAGAATGATGATGGTATAGTACCTACATTAATTCTCATCTTTGCATTTCTTAAAACGAATTCGTTTCTTCAACAATTTTTATTTTTGCAAATCCGCCTTTACAATTCATGGGAAAAAAATATTTTCCTCATTCAATTAACCATCATTTTCATTATATTCTACTTAATTTTGATTGATATCAATAAAAATACAGAAGAATCTAAGTAATTGACAATGATAAATAACTTTTAATTTAAGATTATCAAAATGTAAGTATGAGTCGAGCCAAGTCGAGTTAAATTAATTGAATTTGTCAATATAAGCTTACGCTTCATCCATACTTGTGTGAGACCGGAATTTAGAATAAAAGATGAATCCAAATAGGTTAAGGAAACCCAAGCCAAGAAGCATAGTAAAAAAAGTAGAGATAGAGAGAGAGAAAAAAAGAAAAAAAAAGAAAAAAAGAAAAAAAAACGGAGGTTAAATGTGACCGACCCTAAACAATTTCCATTTTTATTACTCTATTTTTCATAAAACATAAATCCAAATAGATTAAGGAAACCCAAGCCAAGAAGCATAGTAAAAAAGCGAGATAGAGAGGAGGAAAAAAAAAAAAAAAAGAAAAGAAAAGAAAAATTAAAATTGACCCTAAACAATTTTCATTTTCATTTGTCTATTATTCAAATTGTGAGTCGTAAAATATACAGTGTCAATCTATTCCATTGTGTAACTTTGTATACCTATTTGTTCCTCGAACTTGTTATTTCACAACGTTAGAGAGGAAAAGAAGAGAAAAGGCAAAGAAGAAGACGATTCGGTCTCTCAAAACTTTGATCGAAACAATTGAACTGGTTTTTATTTTCTCGGCCCTTAGATCTGCTCACTACTTTCTTCCCCTTTCTCGAGAAAATCTCTGGGAGGAGGTAAACATTTATTCTCACTTCCTATACACGTATATATGCACACGTATATATGCACATGTATATGTATATATATATATATATTCCTGTTCTTTCATTTTTACTTTTGGGTTTCGTTTATGACAGAGGGAAAATTGTTCATGTTGTGTTGCAGATATGAAACGAATACGAGACGATGGTTATGCTAACTCACAAGTTAAGCGGCCATTCAATTCTTCTCGTGGGGAATCGTAAGCTGTTTCTCTCTCTAGAATTCTTTGATTTAAGAGGTTTTTTTGCTTTGGGTTTGTTTGATTATGTATGCGTGGGAGTGGATTATTGGGGAATTCGTGTTTTTGGTTTGTTTGTAGATGTATTTGCTGTACAGTTGATCTAGTTTTTTAGTTAATTATCATGCATTCTTGCAGTTTTATGCCATGTTTGTTGATGTTTTACAATGGAATTTCTTAAGTTTGTGCTAGAATTGTTTGTTGAGTCACTGGATTTAAGTTATGTGTTTTCTAGTTGGAGAATTTCGTGTAGTAATTTGTTAGTTTCACTCCTAGGTTTATTTACTTTGGTCGCCGATTAACAGTTGGAAATCATTGAAAATAATTTTGAACTTTATGCACAAAAAAGAATAAAAGGAAGAAAAACAAACAGATGCCTCAATGAAGCCGCTTGGCACTGTTTGAAGGTCGTTAATTTCTCAATACCAAACTGAGCTTTAGGAGAAAATGAGATGAATGATGCAATTTTTCTCAAGAACACATGGATAGGAAGAAATAATGAAGACACCAATTGGTTATGGCCTTTGATTATTGGTTTTTTTTTTTTTGTTAAATTTGTTGCATATTTGGTGATGAAGCTATGGGCAACCGCCACCCCAGATCATGGGAGCTGGAGGGGGAGGAGGAGGAGGAGGTCCACAGAAACTAACAACCAATGATGCCTTAACTTATCTCAAGGAAGTTAAGGACATGTTTCAAGATCAAAGGGACAAATACGACATGTTTCTTGATGTCATGAAAGATTTTAAGGCTCAAAGGTAAATAGCTATACCCCTTGTAGGTTTAGCACGTGGTGAATGGGGCATTGCATGGAATATTTCCCTTATTTATTCCATGAGCTTGTTTTTTGCAGAATTGATACTACCGGTGTCATAGCAAGGGTGAAAGATTTATTCAAAGGGCATAATAACCTAATCTTTGGGTTTAATACCTTCTTGCCAAAAGGTTACGAAATCACTCTCACCGATGAGGATGAAGCTCCGCCAAAGAGAACTGTTGAATTTGAGGAAGCTATAAAATTTGTAAACAAGATAAAGGTGAAATTGCTGATGCATTTTTCATGTTGAGCTGCTGATTTTAGTTTACTTGGGATCTGATAGATGAACATTCTTCTTACAGAGACGTTTCCAAAATGATGATCACGTGTATAAATCATTTCTAGACATCTTGAATATGTACAGAAAGGAGCACAAGGGAATTACTGAGGTCTACCAAGAGGTAAAAGTTTTCACTTTTTAGTTTAATGATATTGGCTGCTTTATAGTTAGACTATCTTTTGTTTTGTCTTGGATCCTCTTCTACAAATTTTTCATGCAATTAGAGAGAGAGAAATAAAGAGTGTCAACTACTAGTGAGAAATAAGGCAAAAGTAGAGTTAGGTGGTATGAACATATTTTGCCTAGACCGATATACGCACTGGTGAAAACAGGAAGATTGTTTTGTACAAAAGTGAAAGACAAAGAGGTCGACCAAAATTAACATGTTATGATATAATAAAAAATGATTTAATAAATTAAACTTAGTAGGAGAAATAGCTTATAATAGAAAAGAAAGAAAAAAGAGAATTCATGTCGCCGACCTTGTTCATACTGGATTAATGAATGCATTGATGATGATGTCTCTTTGCAGGTTGCCGCACTTTTTGAAGACCATTCAGATTTGCTTGAGGAGTTCACGAAATTTTTGCCTGATGCCTCAGCTACAGCACAACACGTTCCATTTGGCCGACATTCTTTTCATCGTTATGATGAGCGCAGCTCTGCTGTGCCAACAGCAAGGCAGACACATGTGGACAAGGCAATTATGATTATTTTTTAAATTCCATGTTCATGCACATATTCTCTCCTAATTCTTTAATAACAAATGATGAATCTTCCAGCGTCGGCGGGACAGGATAATTGCTCCCAATGCAGATCGTGATTTAAGCGTTGAGCGCCCTGATTTGGATGATGATAAAACAATGACGAAATTGCACAAGGAGCAAAGGAAGCGTGCTGACAAAGAGAACAGGGATAGGAGAAACCGTGATCAGGATTATAGAGACGCTGAGCATGATAGCAATAGGGACTTTTCCATGCAACGCCTTCCTGATAGAAGGAAATCTGCTCGGAAGGTTGATGACTTTGGAGGAAATTCTATTTTGGCCTCTTACGATGATAAAGATACATTGAAAAGTGAGTCAATAGTGTCACTTGGTAATTTATGATAAGGTCACTTGCACGTGTAAGGATTTATGATATGTCATCATTTTTTGGGTTATCAACATTTTTTATGTTCTAGCCCCTTGGGACTAATTATCCCTTGTTGTTCTTCCAAAAGTTGGTTCTTAGGTTGCATGTGTATATGGTCTCTGTGAAGTATGTTTTCGTTATGTTGTGGTATTGATTAGTAGTTACTAATTACTATTTGTTGCATTTCTGAGATATATGGGTGATAGTGGAAAATGATAGTGTTGATTGAAAATGTCAGTCAACTGTTTCTGAGACTCATTTGATCATATATCCATGTTCAGAAGAAACTTTGCACTTCTTTGTTACACTTTGCTGATAATATAACTAGGGTACCAAAGAAGTCGGGAAACTGTCTGCTCTCACCACCTCCTAAACTTTGATCACCCCATGTTTATGAAAGGGATTATGCTTGCTATTTGTTTGATATAAGAGTCTATGTTGATATTTTATTTTATGTTGTTGTTTTGATGTTTTAAATTTTTTAGGTTTGCCTCTTATATGTTTACTTAGATTGCTGCCTTATTTTGCATAGTGCTTTTGCTCTCTAATTTGTTTACTTATTTAAGAGTTGGATTGCTCAATGTGCCAGGCATATACAACCAAGAGTTCATTTTCTGTGAGAAAGTGAAGGAGAGATTGCACAGTTCTGATGATTACCAGGCATTCTTGAAGTGTCTTCATATTTATAGCACCGAAATAATTACAAGAAAGGAATTGCAAAGTTTGGTATGTGTCATAACATCCATTCTATATATATGCTGGCAGCAAGTTCATTTGTCTCACCATAATGATAATTTGGGGTTTCAACCCTTACATGATTTTGAGTACTTATGGTTTTCTGGGTGTTACACTGCGCCATTGTGTTTGGTCCTGGACTTCTATGCTGGACAATAGAAGCCCTAGGTTGGTCCATCCATGTGATTGGCATGAAAAGTTCAATTCTGTCTGAACTTTGAAGATGTCCAGACTTGAGGCTGAGTTAGTGTTGATTGAACAGAACCCAAATTGGTTAACGCTGAAAAGTTTCTGACCTCTATATTGGGTACCAATCAATTATGTTGAAGAATTTACAATGTATTATCTGTGGGCAATCAATTTGTTTGGTCTTCAGATCCAAGATCTGATAATAGATTCACCCTCTTACTTTTTACTAGTATTTCAAATTGGTTGTAAGTTTTTTATTTTGTATTTTTTTTGGTCATTAGTTGAGCTTAGTTTAATCAGAAACTTCACTCATGTCAGGTTGCTGATTTACTTGGAAAATATCCTGATCTTATGGACGGGTTCAATGAATTTCTGGAGCGTTGTGAGAATATTGGTAACTGGTTGAGATTTATTTTTGGTTACGTTGTTATCTGAATTTCTTGAAGGTTGTTTCTAATTATGGCTTTTTTTTGCAGACGGATTCCTTGCTGGTGTTATGAATACGAGTATGCAATATTACTTTTTCTTTTTCCTCATACTGGAACAACAACTTACACTAATTCTGCCAAACTAGTTATAAATGCATTATCTGTTCTATATCTGTGCATAGAGAATTAATTTTTCTTATTTAATTCATTGTTTAAGCTGCTGTATCAATTTGAGTTTTACTTTGTGCTTTGTGAAATCTGATGAAGTTGTTATGTTAGTAGCAGAACCTTTGTGGAATGAAGGGCTTGTATCCAAATCAGTGAAAGTAGATGACAAAGATAAGGAGCAGAAGCGTGAAATGGATGGAGCTAAAGAAAAAGATAGATACAAGGAAAAGTATATGGGAAAATCCATTCAAGAGCTTGATCTCTCTAACTGTCAACGCTGCACTCCCAGCTATCGGCTTCTGCCAGAGGATGTATCTCCCTCTCCCTCTCTTTCCCCCCCACCCAAAACACACACACACAAAAAAAAGAGCTTGCACTTGATTTTTTTAATAATTCCTGTTCTCATTGCTAATTCTTGATGTTGTCACCTAGCAGTATCCGATACCATCAGCAAGCCAGAGATCGGAGCTTGGTGCACAAGTTTTGAATGATTATTGGGTATCTGTTACTTCGGGTAGCGAAGATTACTCTTTTAAGCACATGCGCAGGAATCAATATGAAGAAAGCCTATTTAGATGCGAGGATGATAGGTAAAAGTCTGCCACATGTATATACTCAGAACACACATTGTCTCCCCCCCCCAACACACACACACACAAAAAAAAGACACGCACACCAATTTTCCCATCACAGTCCAACACTCTCCCTTGTGTTTTCTTGTTTCAATTTAGTAAATGTGTTCCCTTTCTTCCTTCTTCCCTCTCTTTTTCTGCTCAAGCATTGTGAAAAGTTGGAAATTGAAAAATTTAAGAGGGAAAAATAGCCATGTCTGCTATTTCATTGCCCTTGAAATATTATTACTGTTTTTGATCGATCTTGTTTTTCCATATCCCATTTATTGTATTATCCACTGCTTGAAATATGGTTTGTGAAAGATGAAACTTAGTAAAATAGTAGAATGAATTGGGGCTTTGGTTTGTTGAGTTGTTATGGAACTTTATTGTGATTTTTCCTGTGTGCTTTGCTTAGTTAAGTAATAATGTAGTTGCTTTATTTTTATTTTTTTAATATATGTATTTTTTATAAATGATTGCAGATTTGAGCTAGACATGTTGTTGGAGTCTGTGAGCTCTACTGCTAAGCGAGCAGAGGAACTGCTGAATGGCATTAATGATAATTCAATCAATCTGGAGAGTCCAATCCGTATTGAAGAGCACTTTACAGGTTTGCTGTTGCAGAATCTCGCATGTATTTATGCCCCACTAATTGTCTGTGCCTTTCAAATACTTAAACTTACTTATTTTTTCCAGTTTCTTTTTCTTTTCTATTATTATAATTTTTGATAACTCTGTCCTTCGTCTCATTTCTTGTAGCTCTGAATTTAAGGTGCATGGAACGTCTTTATGGTGATCATGGTCTAGATGTGATGGAGACATTACGTAAAAACCCATCTCTAGCGTTGCCTGTTATACTAACTCGCCTAAAGCAGAAACAAGAGGAGTGGACCAAGTGTCGGTCAGATTTTAACAAGGTTTGGGCTGAAATTTATGCTAAGAACCATTACAAGTCTCTTGATCACCGAAGTTTCTATTTCAAGCAGCAAGATTCAAAGAACTTGAGCACAAAATGTAAGTTGGATCTTGATGTCAAAGATGATAGTTAAATATGTTACATAATTTTAGTGTTTTGATTGTTTGTTGTTAGCTTTACAATTGGTGAGATATATTATATATGATATCGTTAAAGATGTATAAATGACCAATGTGCCAGTGGCCTAGCGGTATTAGCCTCTTACTTCCCAAAGGGAGGTTAGCGGTTCAAGTCTTAGAAGAGACAAGTGTGTGTGGGTACCAACTAGGAAAAAAAATAAAGATGTATATTGTATTTTTATTTTTTCCAAATGAATATAAGCCAAGAAATTTCTACATTCTTTTTAATTTCTTTTGGGGATACTGTTTTAATTTTTTATTTTTATAATTTGAATGGTTTCTAAAGGAGTAAGTTTCTTTTAACTTGAATGGTTTAAAAAAGAGTAAGCTTCTTAAGTAAGGTAACAAGTGTCTATCGAATCTTTTTACAAATTATATATATATATATATATATATAGATATATACACTTTTTAGATTGGAGTATCATTAAAAGATCTGTTCTGATAGCTTTTCAAATTCTCTATGACACATCTTTAGTAAATCAAAGAAACAAAGAATCAAATAGGAGATGGGTGACTAGGATTTCTTGGTCCTCTCTTAATGTTGGGGGTTCAATTTATATTTGCGCACCTCTATCAAATATTTGGTGCAATCTGGTTCGTCGCTGTCTGCAATAAATGTCACACGTGGTTGCCTACCATTTGAGGAATAAGAAACTCTCAATATTCCGCATATTCACAAGATTGAATTCACGAATTGACAAAAATGAATTCCTGAATCGAGGTGGCAATCACTATCGAAGTGCCAATTCAAGCTTCAAGCGTGAGAGCGGTACTCCTTATGGGAGGATCATGTGACTTTGGGGGGTTTGTTTGGGGGACAGTAAAAAATCCTAGTTGAGTCTGGTCCAGGATTTGGTTTAGGTAAATTTCACCCCTCCCTCATTATATCACATTACTAAAATGACCTCTTATTTTACATGGTAGACCATTGATACCTTTCCTTATAAGGCTAGGGTTTATTCCATCTTTTGTCATTGCAGCTACTATCTTCCTTGGCCTCTCCCCTTTCTAGCGGCATCATCAACTCTACGACCATCACCTTTAAAGCCTGCCATTGTTGCTGCTTGTGGGATCGTAATTGCTTAAGCTTGCATTGCTCCTTGCCTTCGCTAAATCTTACAGAATTTAATAATTCTTTTATGCATATAGATCTGATCAAAATCTATTAAATGTCTTCTTTCTTTTTACCATCTCATCATCATCATCGTCTCTTTTGTTGCTTCGAATTTGAGTAAACCCCTCCATCTTCTCACAATTTTCTATCTGTATCGGATATGTGATTGGAAGGGTTTTTTTGGGGATCAGGAATGGGGCTCAGTATAAACCCATCACAGATATGGGATGGGGTTGGGTTTTTGGGGGATCAGGAATTCTTGCCCATTCTCACTAGAAAACATCTGGTATCCACTTACAGTAGGAAATATTTCCCTTTTTTAGGCTCCTTTAAGGTTGACACAATCGTGATTTACTGATATATTGTGATCCAGTTGGAGGATGTGTGAATTCATGATTTGGTTTCCTTTCTAAGAACTGACAGTCTTTTTGGCACATCGGGTTCTTACAATCATCATGCATCTCTCATACTCATTTGACATGGCATTGTAGGTGTGCAGTGTCTTTTTGATATTATTAGGATGAATCATGATTGACAAGGCATACTCTGTGTTTGGTTTGATAAGTCCTGGATGCATTATTGGAATGCATTAGAGGAGATTCTAAAATTTAATGTAATATCAATAATTTCCAAAAGTTAGCTTTTGGTACCAAAAACAGAAGCAAGGATTTTCCATCTTTTGTAATTATGAATTAAACGGGATTTTAATAATTTACCATCTTCTTGTCGATTAATAATTCTAGTCGATTCCCACGTAGATATGTCTACACAAGTTCACCACCAGCTCTTGTGCTGCCATTGTCTTTGATTTTACTGAATCCCTGCAACTTCCAATGCCATCACTTCTGCTGCCATTGTGACAATCATCCATTATGGATTTCTGGTGCTGGTGCTTTTTTCAGTACCATGATTACCAATATCATGCTGCCACCATTCTAATGTCACTCTCATACCATCATTTGCGCTCCTTTTGCTGCAATCTTTGCCAACAATAGCAGTCATTGTTACTTCCACGACCCTGTACTCTTTCGAACTGAATTGACACTGCTAGTTCCATTTCCTAGCAACTATTGATTTTCACCACCCTTTCAATTTATAAATATTATGGCGTTTTATACAACTTTTGCAGTTGCATCACTTTTTTGTAGTTCTTTATTATGACTCGAAAAATAGGGCTTATTTTTACCAAATAAATGTCGGCATATATATATTAGAGTGAATGTTTTAGTTTTGAATATTAATAGATCATTTTTTGTTCCATAAACAAATGTTCAATTTGGAAACAGTGTATATTATCATTTTTAATGATTCCATTGTGTGGATTAAATGCTACCTAAATTTTCACTGATGGTGTCTTATCTTCACACATATCAATGTCCAACTAATATGAGGATGATGAAGTGATTCATATAATTTTTTGTGGGGTTCAACTAAATTGAATGTTATTGAAGACTGAGATTTACAGAAGTTTACTTCCATATTTTATTTTTTATTCATATTACTTTTGCCTTTTGTTATCATGAAATTTTCTTGTTCTTTAAATTTATAGCCTTGTTATCTTGAATCTCTTATGTTCTTTAAATTTACAGCCTTAGCGTCCGAGATCAAAGAAATAAAGGAGAAAAAACAGAAAGAGGATGATGTGCTTCTGGCTGCTGTTGCTGGAAGCAGACATTATATAGCTCCAGATTTTGAATTTGAATACTCTGATCCTGACATTCATGATGACCTGTATAAACTTATTAATTATTCATGTGAAGAGGTCTTCACAAGTAAAGAACAATTCAATAAAGTTATGAAGCTATGGACTTCATTCTTGGAGCCCTTGCTGGGTGTTCCAACTCGGCCTCAAATTTCGGAGGGTGCTGATGATGTGGAAAAGGCTAGGGATCGTGCTGCAAGTAGTACGGCAGCAAACATAGGAGAAAATGATGGAAGTCCGGGTACTGATACTTCTATCTTGAATTCTAAGCAATCAAAACCTGTCAACAATGGGGATGAAAGCAATTCACAGCATCTAGTAAATTCTTGCGGGACTATTTTGGTGAATGGTGATACTGTGGCCAAGGAAAATGGTCTTAGTTTAGAGGAAGAGCAAAAGAACAAAGTTATTGTTGATAAAGTGTCTGGATTTAGTGCAGCAGTGGCCTCCAGTGAGCGAGTAACCAGTTCTAATGCATCACTTGCCATTGGAGTAGACAACAATCATGGAAGAATCAGCATGGAGGCGGTATCAGGTTGGTATCTAACATGATCCGTGGTTCTTGATTGAAATAAAGTCTGTAATTTGGCTTATGATTAATATTGATCTTGTTATAGTAAAATTTCTCTACTTTTTTGGACTTCTTTAATTGCTGCATAATTCTGGATCATTTGGAATTTCAAGGGCATGATGGAACTCCTGCTCCCACCAATACTGCTGTTGAGGATAACTGTGAAGCCAAGACTAAGATTGATGTTTTACCTTCATTAGAGGTAACAATTTGTTGTTTTGCTATGACTTGGAGGTCCTATTTGCCTAGGCCAAAGTATTTATCCATTGGTCTTGAATTATTATGGATTTTTTACCTTTTTGATTTGGGTCTTGATTATTCTGTATTAAGATGTCAGTATGTATATGTTCTAGGGTACTGATGTTTCGAGACCAATTCCATTGGCAAATGGAGGTTTGCCGGATGGCACTGACGAAATCAGATCTGTTGAACCCTCTAAAATGGAGAAAGAGGAGGGTGAGTTATCACCTAATGGCGGTATTGAAGAGGATAACTTTGTTGCCTATGGAGATGGTGCTTTGAACCCTATGCCTAAAGCAACACAAGGTAGCGGAAGCATGCAACATACTGCTGGAAATAGGGAAGATGCCTGTTGTCAGGATGCTGGAGGAGAAAATGGTGTAGATTCTGATGACGAAGGCAGCGAAAATGCATCTGAGGCTGGTGAAGATGTTTCCGGCAGTGAGTCAGCTGCTGATGAGTGCTTTCAGGAAGAGCATGAGGAGGAGGAAGAAGGAGAACATGATGAGCTTGATGTTAAGGTTGAAAGTGAAGGTGAGGCTGAAGGGATGAATGATGAATACTTTCTCGAAGGAGATGGCATAACATTGCCGCTGTCTAAACGTTCTCTGCAGAGTGCGAAGCCTCTCACAAGACATGTAGCTTCAGCATTACGTGACAATGAAAAGAAAGATGCTAGGGTTTTTTACGGAAATGACAATTTCTTTGTGCTTTTTAGGTTTCATCAAGTAAGGATATGGTTCTCTCACTTTTTCCTTTATTTATTTATTCTGTTTTTATCTTTTGATTGGGGAGGGGATGATATGCATTTAATTATATTACTGATTGTTGTATTACTGATTCCCCCCCCCCTCCCCTTCTCTCCTCTCTCTTCTGCCTTTTCCAGATACTCTATGAAAGATTACGATCAGCAAAACTGAACTCGCAGTCTGCTGAAATGAAATGGAGAACTGCAAAGGATACTAGTCCTCCTGATCCATATGCAAGGTAGTTCTGAATCATATATTTAGCTCTTAATTAATATAGAGTCTTTAATAGAAATTAATCTTGGCATGTTCTACAGATTTTTTAATACACTATGTAGTTTGCTTGATGGATCTGTTGACAATGCGAAGTTTGAGGATGAGTGCCGAGCTATACTTGGTAACCAGTCTTATGTGCTATTTACATTGGACAAGTTGATATATAAGCTGGTGAAACAGGTAATAATCTTCCTTATGTTCTGTTCTTTAGTCACTTGTTTTCCTGCAATTTTTTCTGAATTTTTTTCTTGCAGCTTCAAACTGTTGCAAGTGATGAGATGGACAATAAGTTGCTTCAATTATACGAGTATGAAAAATCTCGGAGACCTGAGAAATTTTTTGATGTGGTTTATTATGACAATGCGCGTGTCCTTAATGATGAGAACATTTATAGATTTGAATGTGTAAGTTCTTTTTTGTTCGATTTGTTCTATTGTTTGAAGTATTCTATACTTGTATCATTATTTGTGGGTATGCCTGAACATTTAAGTTGTTTTCATGCTTGCTGCAGTCATCTGCCCCATCCCGTTTGTCCATTCAGCTGATGGATGATGGATATGAAAAGCCCGAGGTGGTTGCAGTTTCTGTGGATCCTAATTTTATGGCTTATCTGGAAAATAATTTTCTGCCAGTAGTTTCTGGCAGAAAGGAGCCGTCAGGCATCATGCTGCAGAGGTACTGATGATATCCCGTTCCAAGTTTACACTGATATTCCTGTTCCAAGTTTACACTGTTTTATAGTGTATAGAAGTATATGCTCTTAAGCATCAAACAAGATCGATTGCAATTCAAATTTGCTTGGACCCATAACTGCATGTGCTCTCTTTAACATACCGCTGTTGCCAATATCACCGTCAGATGGTTGTCTTACTTGATTGTGCTCTTTTTGTTCTGCCATGGAAAATTCGGTTATAAATGTAAATTTTGTTCTGCAATGGTTCTGTTATAAATGTAAATTTTCGTAATTTCATCCATGTTTAGTTTGATGGATTCCATCAAGTGTTGTTTTTTTTTTTTTTTCTTTACATGATGTGCGATTTCTTATTTGTTTCTAAGGTTCTTATTAAACTTGGAATTGAATGCCTCAGAAATTGTGGAGAAACAGGATATCAAAGATAGTTTTGGAATGATCATATTCATTTTTTTTTATTTCTACTTAAATATGTCTGTACAAATATATGCAGAAATAAACGCAAGCATGCAGACCTCGATCAATTTTCTGCCATATCCAATGCTATGGAAGGCGTTCAGCTGGTCAATGGTTTGGAATGTAAGATGTCTTGCAGCACATCTAAGGTATTTTAACTGTCACTATTACTTGTAGTCGAGACACTAAATACATGCCATCTTAACTCTTTAGTCTTGTTGCATGATTTATTTATTTATTTTCCATTTTCATATATTTTATCTTTTTGACTTATCATTCCCCATCTCTATCTGTCAATAAAATAAAAATATGGTATTAGCCATTTTATGATATAATGTTTTTTGGCCTTGCTGGTGATCCATATCAACATTTTCGTTATAGCTTTGTTATATCTGATCACCATTGTTGACTTCCTGGAATTTTACACAATAAATCGAGTAAATGATTTTATGTTATTGTGATAGGTGATCCTAGTTAGGACAACACTATTCTTTTTCTCTTTTTATTTTTATTATTTTTATTTTTTATTTAATCTGATTCTAAACCATATCTAGAGCTGTTTACCATCTTTATACCTTTTATCAATTGGTTGAAGACACCTGTAGTTTCTATAATTGATTTTCCTAAAATGAACATGAAGACAAAAATCAACTAGTTTTGTTTTGTGTTTTCGTCTTTGCTTTAGTACTCTCAAAATTTTGGTTGCGTGAAACAGTTAGTTTGAATGTTATCTCATTCCATCCCCAAAGGGAGGTTTCAAGTCCTGTTTGATGAACGAGTGCACATGTAGGTTTTTTTTTAAAAAAAATAATAATAAAGGAAAAATGAATAGAGTTAGGTGGCATGACAAATGAAATTTTTAAATAAAGCAATTTTGTCAATGAAGCATTTCTTATTATTAGTCACCTAGTTATGTACTCGTCAGTCCCTCTGATAATGTAACCTCTTAACTATTACATGTACACTCCACTTTCAATGAAAATCAATACAATAGTACTAAACATTATCTCATTGTACAAGACCTCTTCCAGCCAATCTATGAAAAAATAGATTTATATATATATCTATATATATATTCTATTTTTTTATTTTTAAAATATGATCCGAAACCTTTTGAATCTTACCAAAAAAAGGTTGGGTGTCAGGTCTCCTATGTTCTAGATACAGAAGACTTCTTTTTTCGTACAAAAAGGAGAAGAAGTTTGTCAGGGAGCAGATCTTCATGCGATAATCAGGCAAGAGTAGAACGGTTCCACAGATTCTTAACAGCCTCACAGAAATTACCATGCCTTCTTTCGTGATACTAGACAGTTGAGGTAGGTATTTTATTTTCGTTATCCATTAAATTCATTCAATTTTGTCATATGAAATTGACCTATTGATATTAATTCACATTTTCCCCTCATGTTTGCAAAAACTAAATTTCGTTACCCATGCTTTTCGTGTGCGTGCAGAATTTATTGGGGGGGATCAAATCTATACAGGTTTAATTGAGGAGCATCTTTCTTGTATTTTCATATTGATTCTGATCAAGCAAATAACAGTGGAGATGGGGAACCGATCAGGAATGTAGTATATTGGGAAGTCGAAGTATCTTATGTTGTTGTCATATCAACTGCATTTAACCATTGTTCTGTAAATAGGATGAAGCGTGATATTACTATAGAGTTTTGTGTTTATTTCTGCTCTGTTGGGACTCTGCTAAATTTCTTGTAGCAATATCTGGTGGTTCCGATTAGTGGAACCAGAGTCATCGTTGATAGAAACTTGTGGTAGATTATGTATGTGTAAGTCGTGAAACAGGAGAAAGAAATATATGAAAATCATACATTCGAGCTCCCGCCGTTGCCTTTGTAATTTTATTCATAGCTTACGGCGTTGGGTTAATCGTGTTACGTTCATTTTCAGTAGGAAAGGCGTAAACTATTGCTGGTGGTTTGAATTTTGATGCAGAAATCATTGAACATGTTATTATTCTTTAATTATGTCAGGTCATTTTTCTGAGTTAGATTTTGGTTTTAAACAATTTAATCTCAAAAGCATTTCGGTAGCTCGAAACGAAATCATGCTAATTAGAAATGTCACTTTCTTCAAATAATTTCGATCCGTTGCATGCATCGTGCTATGCCCAAAAGCAAAAGCTCTAAGAATTGGGGATCTTTTGATGCACATCAGAGCATGTTGATACAAGTCTAAAGTTGTTTGCAATAGCTGTGACTTAAAAATAAATTCCTAGTGAAATTTGGAAATTTGTCTCTTTATTAGTTTAATTTTAATTTTTAATTTTTAACTCAGTTGAAATTGATTCCAGTAATTGTATATATAAAATTAAAATTGAACAAATTTGCAAGTGAATAATTGTGGAGAGGAGTCATATTCATTTTACAACTGTAAACTTGAGATCATAAATTCTTATCATACGTTGTCAAAAGAAATAAATTTAAAAAAAAATCTATTATACATTTGGTGATGTTATACGTGGGGCCTACTATTTTCACTCACACAAACACTATCCTTCGAATTTAATTTTTTTTTTTTTTTTTTAAAAGAAAAAATTACTTAGTTCGATGAAAATTTTTTTGAATCTAAATTTCACATCACAGTCCCTAACACGGGCTGATCATTAGGCCCAAAAGTTAGGTGGGTCAAATATCAACACCCGTTAACTTTGGGCTGCATTCAGCCATGTACAGCTGTCCACGTGCACTTACAATTCCGCGATTAAATTCCATTGTGGTATTAAACTAAGAATTAAATTCTAACGTATTTGATTGGTAAAACATAATGCTTTTATATAATTTAAATCGCACATTCAATACTAATACATATTCTTAAACAAAAACATAAAATGCAAGATATATCGTTTTCGGTGGCATGTGTCAAATATTGATTAGGATATTTTAAAAGGTGTGAGAGAGTATTTTATTTATTCATGACAATTTTTTATTTTATTTTATTTTATTTTATTTTCTAGACTTTATTCGTTGAAATCGTTACAAAATATCAGTAAATCTTGATTGTCGTTTTAACCTTTATCTTATATGACTAGTGTTAGTCCGATCACATGAATTCTCTTTTATCCCCTTGCCAAAATATTCATGGTCTATGTTGTATATAATCATGTCACATAAATATATTTTATCTATTTTATTAGTAATAGACACTACTATTATTTTTTCATTATTTGTTAATTATTAATTTTTGCTCTTCTAGTCCACTCATATAATTCATTTTAACATTTTCTTTTCTTTTTTCATATGCATAAATGCATTTATTATAGAATCTTATTCAAATTAATTTATTTCCATTTCGTCCAATTTATTTTAATTTTATTTAAATTGTCATTATTTTAAAATAATCGTCATTCAATTAGTTCGGTGTCTATTACATAACATGGGACCCTCATTAAATATATTTTTTCAAGGGACCCTCATTATCAGTTGTTATGGACTCCTATGTGATATATTTGACACTAGTTGTCAATTTTATTATTTTTCTTACGTTATTTGTTAAGTATTTAAAAAAAAAAAAAACATAAAAAACATGCATTACCAGAGATGGGCTTGTCATCTTCTCCAAGGTCCTTGTTTAGAAAGAGAAAGAAGTGTCGTGGAAACAAGCTGTTTTGGTCGGCAATAAACATGGAAAATAAATACATAACAGGTGTACAAAGCACGTGGTCACATTATATGTCGTTTAATGATGCATGAACCAATTGGTAACCCTCCTCGAACCTAACAATCCTCGAATTTTGTTACTTCCCACGTAGAAAATTCCAAGCACACCAACATTATATATATATATATATATAACGTACTAGAAGAGTTATACTATATATTTGAATTTTGAACCCAACAGCCACTATCAAACGCGTTGATGCGTTCAACCCTAAAATCAATCAAAATTCAACAACACGCTTAAACTCACAAACCGTGTTCGCTGTACTCTCTATTCCATATCTGACCATTTCTCTCCACAGTCTTGACTCTCTCTCTGTCTCTCTCTATATCTCTCTCTCATTTCACACACTAAGTGATTTGTAGCATTTGAATTGAATATGGTATGTCTAAGATTAATCTCTCTGTTAGTATTAGTTTCTCTGCTTTTCTCTCGGGTCTACGCAATCCGGTCATTTCCGAGCAGATTTAAAGACACGAGACTTCCGTCGTTACAGAGTCTAGAGAGGGACTCACAGTTTGTTGAAGCGCCTGAATATCGAAACGGGCCTGAATGTACTGTTTTGAATAAAAATGTTAATGGTTCTGTTTCAGCTTGCGATTTGAGTCTTGTTCACATTGCAATGACGCTTGATTCGGACTACTTGAGAGGTTCAATTGCAGCAATTCATTCGGTTCTCAAACACACTTCTTGCCCAGAAAATGTGTACTTTCACTTCATTGCTTCGGATTCGAATTCAATAAAACCAGATGGATTGTCCGGGTTGGTTCAATCGACTTTTCCGTCTCTGGGTTTCAAGGTGTACACTTTTGATGTGAGTTTAGTGAAGAATCTGATCTCGTCTTCGATCAGACCAGCTCTTGACAACCCATTGAACTACGCAAGAACATACTTAGCTGACATACTCGATTCGTGTGTTGATCGTGTGATCTATCTCGATTCGGATGTCGTCGTTGTCGATGATGTACAGAAGCTATGGTCAGTTTCTTTAACCGGGTCGAGAGCAATCGGAGCTCCGGAGTATTGCCATGTGAATTTCTCCAAGTACTTCACTAATGAGTTCTGGTTTGACGCGAAGCTATCCAAGGTTTTTGAGGGGAAGCGGCCGTGTTATTTCAATACCGGCGTGATGGTGATGGATTTGGGGAAGTGGAGGGAAAGGAATTACAGGAGGGAAATTGAGGAATGGATGGAAGTGCAGAGGGAGAGGAGGATATACGAGCTGGGTTCGTTGCCGCCGTTTTTGCTGGTGTTTGGAGGAGATGTGGAGGGGATTGATCATAGGTGGAACCAACATGGGCTTGGTGGGGATAATGTGGTGAGTAGTTGCAGGACTCTGCATCCGGGACCGGTGAGTTTGTTGCATTGGAGTGGAAAAGGGAAGCCATGGGTGAGACTTGATGGGGGGAATCCATGCCCAGTTGATCATCTGTGGGCACCTTATGATCTCTACAGACATTGATTTTTTTGTTTATTTATTTTTGTTCATTTCTCTCCCAATTTTGTTTAATTCTTTTGTATATGGATACAGTACATAAATACACACAATAGAAAAAGAAGATTCATATAGATATTTTGTTATTGCTTATGGTCTGTGTAATGGTGTCTTTACGCATCAGACAAGCCAAGGTGTGCTTGTTTTTGTTTGGATCCTGGATCCGTGTCTTATCTTTACATCATTTATGCAATAACTTCACCTTATGCAACAATTACATTATATCGTAATTTAGTGTTACATTTGGTCATTTGTTGTTGCACTAGCGACATAGGACCAAGACACAAAATCCTCTCCACAGGAGGGGATCCGGATTCTTGTTTTCGTTTCAACAATTCATGGTATCTAAGAAATGTCACCCTCGGGGGAGGATTAAGCGACTATGGTTGCTTCACTGGCTTTTGTTGTGCAATGAGAGTGACCACAACAAGAACAAACACTAAACTTTTCCACGTTCATAGAGCTATTTTGTTATTGCTTATGGTTTGTGTAATGGTGTCTTTAAGCATAAGACCAGCCAAACTGGTGTGCGTGTTTTTGTTTTGATCCCGAATCCTCTCTTGTGCCTTATCTTTACATTATTTATACAACAATTTCAAATCGCTTATGTAACAATTACATTATATCTTAATTTCATAGTGTTACAGTTAGTCATTTGTTGTTGCACTAACGATATAAGACCAAGACACAGAATCTGCTCCTACCAATATAGGACGAAGACACAGAATCCCTTCTAGAGGAGGGGATCCGGATTCTTGTTTTCGTTTTGACAGTTCATGCCATCTAGGATTGTTAGTTCATGCCATCTAGGAAATGCCAGTTTCATAAAGACCCTCGTGGGAGGATTAAGCAACTATGGCTGCTTCACTGGCTTTTGTTGTGCAATGAGAGTGACCACAATAAGAACAAACACTTAACTTTTCCCTTTCGACAAGAAATGTGCAACCAGCAGTCACATTGCTGTCGAAATAACCAAACAGGCCAACGGTCAAAACAAAGGTCATTTTAGTGATTCAGAAACCAAACTTACTTCTTTGAATGACTAGCACACCCTTTTTGCTCTGTGGTATAACAGTCACCTCGCGTTTAGCCGTGCATTGTCAATAGAGGAAAGCTATGGTGGAAGGAACGGATCGAATTCTATATTATTCGAGCCATTTTGGTCCCCAGATTGACAAAACCTGGTTCTCTATTGTAGTTTTTGCTATAGGAGTCGTGTTTTACGGCTATGCCTTGACCTGAATACATTTTATGTTCTGCTCAATAGAGATGATTCATTATATGAAATGGAAGAAATACATGTGATAATGAAATGTACAATTTTTATTTATTATGGATAAAAAGGGATAATGATTCACAAACCTAAAACTCAAACGGAGAAAGTTTCTTGATAAAATATGTACATGCCCATTTCTACTGTCTTTACTTATAACAAGCCAACTACACAACTCAGATGAAGTCTGTTCTCCAAGCCTCTCAAGTGATGACCCAATAACATGCACCTGTCAAAAAAATAAAATAATCAATGTACTTGCTCCAAAGGAAAATGAATTGACGCAATAGCATTGACAACAAAGAAAGAGATCACGAGGAAACTAACCAGAAAACTAGCTTTGCCAAGTAGTCCCGTGAAGTGCTTATGGCATCGTGAAATTCGTCACAACAACTTTGGTAGTTCTCTGTGCTCCTTATAGCTGAATCTCCAATAAAACCAGAGGGAGTATCATTTTTAAAGAATCTCTTCAATATGTTTCGAACAAGTTCACGAATAATTTCCTCCACCTCTAATGACGATAGCTGAGATAGTTCAGTCACCTGTGGAAACAAATTACAGTTTCTGAAAAATCCAACTTCAAACAGAGAGGCAATAGTCACATGAAAAAAAAATTAAGGACAATACCATATCGGATTCCAAGGACCTTAAATACTCCAACAAATCATTGTTACTTTCTCTAATATGCTCCATTCTTATGTGTTTCTGCTTCTGAAAATGTAGTTCCTGCAACATCATATACAGATCACAATTGGCGTGCATCGAATATAAAGTAGTTGCCACACAAAAAGGACAACCAATTCGCTAATCATTGTTTGTACATGGAAGAAACGAATCAGATTAGCATGATAGTAACTGTGATAATCATCATAACCTTGAGTTGCATAGGTCCATCTTTAACTTTAAGTCGAGGAACAATTTAGGAGCATATATATTTCAAATGTTAAGGTTGGCTTGTTGTGAGTAGGCTGAGGAATCCTCTTTGAAAAGTGCGTCATTTGAGATTTATGGGAATGGAGTCACTCAGTGAAGTTAAAATCAGATTTGCCACTAGGCAGTTATTTGAAAGACTTCCTTACAAAATATTTGAAGTCTAGATGCTGGAACCCTTAAGTGGAAGGTTTACCAATTTCAGAAAAATCATGTAGTCGGAAAGAATGCAATTCTCTGCCCATTTACTCCCCACTGCCTATAATGGACTTTGAACAAACCTATCGATTTTACACCAACCCATAAAATGTGAAGGCAGGAAGTGATTTCTGGTCTCTAGTACACCAAGTTATAGATTTTACCAGCAGATCAGAAGGCACCTTTAATATCCTATAATTAATTGATAGCATGTTCTTCCTGAAAGTATAATTACACATTGAAGATAACAAGGGCAAACTAATAATTTGAATGTGATATTGAACACCACCATGATTTCTAATTTTCATCAATAATCAGAAATTCGACTAAAGTGGCGGTATTGCATTAAATCATGTCATCTATGAGCCTATAGACCATATGGGTTTGGCATTGTAAATACCAACTTAAGCTTCATAGTCATGTAACTCCGAAATTTGTAAATACCAACTTAAGCTTCATAGTCATGTAACTCCGAAACCATCCTTCTTTACCATAAAACATTCACTAGTATTGAGCCCAATACAAGAACTCTTCAAGTTGTTAACTGAGTTTTCTTGCTAAATCAAGTTTCAAATCAGTTATGTAATCTAAATCCGGAAAACGTGTGTGCACGAGTGTGTATCCCATGAGAGAGAGTAAAATCCTCACCTTCTTAGCTGTGAATAGCTCCGATTCCAGCTGCTGAATGTAGTTCAGAACCTCAGGCGACAAATCGCCAATACTCTGAAAGTTTACTCTCTCCAAATCTTCAACATCAACACCAACAACCTCACTGTCCTCATGGTTTATTTCCCAAACATCATTGTCCAGCGAAAAAGTCGAACTTTCTGAACTCTCCGGCGATTTATTAAATTTCCTCATCAATGAAATTCTATACTCCGCGTTCCACAGTGTATATCTAACAATACAACAATCAAATCATTTTCTATAAGAATTCAATTTCGAGTGTATAGCTAACAATACGACAATTAAATCATTTTCTATAACAATTTGATTTCAAGCACAGCACACACATACACACATATATGAGTTAAATGAAGCAGAGAAGACGTCTTTACCCGGTGATTATAGAGGAGACGAGGAGGCGATCCAGAAGACGTTTTGAAACCCTAACGGTGACGGAAAATTGATCCGACGGGAGCAATCCTAGCATGGTTGAGATGGTCTGCTTCATGGAGTCCTTGGCGGAATCAGAAACCCCCTTGGAGATAACGGAAATGTCTAAAGGTTCGATCTTCTTAAGCATATCGGCGATTACAGAGAATTCCCGATCGAATGATCCAGATTTGGTGGCGGAGACAAAGTCATCGGAGACTCCGCCGCCGTCGACGCCGGAAACCAGGCAGCTGACGGCAAAGGAAGGATGCCTCTTGGTGGCGATGGCGAGAAGCAACGGTCGGAGAATCGGAGGGGGTTGAGGCTGGAGTGGCTTGAGTGACGGATCGGTGAGCCGAGGGCTCAAGAAAGCCCTAGCTATGGCCGCCATTAAACACACAGATACACACACAGTGGTGTGTGTATGTGTATGTGTGTTGTTTGCTCCGGCGAAGCTCTCACGCGTCTGGTTCAGTTCTCTCTTTCTGTCTTTCTGTCTTTCTCAGCCGATCGTTGATTTTGCTGTTTTGTTTGCTTGCTTGCAACCTCGTCCAAAAAAAGGAAAAGCCCTTTCTGTTGAAGTAATTAACCGATTCGCCATTGGTGGTTTGTGGAAGACAGACGAAAGGAAGTGGAGTTGGTATTGTGCCGATGGATTCGACGACGACGTTAACGGTCCGTTTTGCCGCCAACCCATGCCTGTCACGAGTGATGATGCTACCTCTAATTCTTTTATTTATTTTTAATTGGGACTAAAATCATAATAATTTCTGGGACTAAAATCAATTACAAATAATAAAAAGATGTGTTTAACTCATCACATAACTATTGTCCTTTTCAAAAAAAGGTCGCAGGTAAAGGGAGGAAGCCCCAAAGGAAGTGGGCCCAGAGGGCCCATAACTGGAGAAAAATATTATATTATATAAAGGCTGAAGTCAAAGTAGGTTATTTTTCAATTGCCTCCAGTGTCTGCGTGTTTTGCTCGAGTTGTGCGTTTTCGCTTCTCCAATGGCTCCTTCCACTTTCGGTCGATGGTTCAGGCCCGAGGTTCGTAACTCTCTCTATACATATACATATATATATATATATATATATATATATATATATCAAGAATTGCTATTTTTCCGATCTAAGGTAGGATTTGTTGGGAAACTTTAGGAGCTAATGGTAATTGTATTTGTATGTGTAGGTTATTCCTCTGTTTATTCCCGTAGGGTTAGCGGTAGGGATTTGCGCAATGCAGTTGGTGCGCAACATCTGCACCAACCCTGAAGTCAGGTATCCTTCTATCCCTTTCTTCATATATATATATATATATATATATAGCCTGTAATATGTGAATGAATCCACCACCAACCAGCACTTTGAAATATGGTATGTTTACAAACATGGGACATGTGCAACCTTAAATCATACTATAGGCTCCTTTTTTGCGTGACTCGTAGATCGATAGCTGAGAATCCAAACTAGGGCGTCCAAGTTTACTCTTCCTCTATTGTGTCTACCCACAACTTAAATTGTTCCTGCTATGCCGGATTCTACTTTGTTCACGTGTGACTGTAGGATCTCGATCAGATTGTTAGTCCACCAATTGCCAATTGCGGTGGTGGCTAACTATATTACAACGAACAACTTATCACCATCCTCTAGGATTGGAAAACAATATAAAAGTTTGGTTTCATGTTCAAGCTGACACATTTTTTCAATCCCATGGATATGACCACTCATTTTTTAGCAATGCAAGCTTGAACCAAGTTGAGATCAGATTGCTTAAACATTGGTGTGCCGAGCTCGAGCATGGCTAGCCTGAACACCCTCGTTAGCTGAGCCCGAACTACTCAAAAACTAGACTAGGTTCATTTGCAGCCCTACCACCCTTACACTCACAAAGGCAGTCATCTACGGCCACTCCTGTTCCCACCACTGCCCGTCACTGACACTTCTACCCAGTCACAACAATTGCCAACACTTCCATGACAATACCGCCAAAAATATGTCATTACTAAATTTTACAGATTGTCCTAGTACAGTTCGGAAAACCTCGATCGTAAAAAGGAAATCATGAATAGGTTTCTTTATTTCCTCACCTTTTACCCCTTTCCTTTTCTCTTACGTTTCCTTTTCCCTTTAGTTTTTATCATAACGGGTCTAAAATTTTTTGCATTTGCTTGAAGAACTTTATGAAATTTGCATTTCTTGAAATGATTAAAGTTTATTTCTTTATGGGTACATGCTGCAAAGTGCTGTAGCTCCTTTTGGTTTATTATGGTGTCTCAATCACTCACAAGCCACGTGCATAATATAAAACCGAAGACGGTTGAATTATAAAATTTGAGACATATGGTTTGCGACCCATCACATTGGTCATCTCACCTACATTTGAAGGTTCAAATTTTTTTGAAGGATTCAATTGAAACAGTTGCAATGGTTCAGATTCTGACAAGTTTCAACATTTTGGCAATTAAGATACTTTTTTATTTTTATTTTTATTTTTTGTTGTTTTTGTGAAAAATAAGGGTGACCAAGGAAAATAGGGCTGCGGGAATACTGGACAACTTTGAAGAAGGTGAAAAGTATGCTCAGCATAGCATCCGGAAGTTTGTTCGCAACAAGAATCCTCAGATCATGCCAGCCATCAACAACTTTTTTAGCGACCCAAAGCTTCCTTCTTAGGAAGTGTTTCTATTGAATGCTATTTTTTTGAAATGCAACTTTTAGATTTGGTTGAATTCAGAGCCTCAGATCATATCAGATAAAGGCGCAAACTTGAATAAGTTTCAGCCATAAATAATAATGTATATTTGTTCCTATATTAATGTTGTTGTCATTCATATATTTCTCTACATGTTCAATTACCTTGGGTTCTACTGTGTTCTTTCCTTGCATCAGAGTATCGTTGCATAGCTTCTGGTGCCTCGGGTTCAATCACCTGCAGTCGTAGCTTTCTCTGTTCTGATGAACCTTGTCAAGTTTATCCCCAACAATCTAAACTAGGAGGTAACTTGTGAACTAAAAGGAATGCTTTTGACAATCAGATTTCACTAAACAAGTTGATAATTTATTGGGGACTGCCTATGACCTTTTGGACAGCTTGTGGGGGACGAAATTTCCCGGTAGTTCCTTCTCTGTTCCCGCCAAGCTAGGGATTCCATCGAATTCTTGCTTGAGAGAAGCTTGCCGGAAGTCCTCTGTTATAAGGTTCTTTGAACTGAGAATCAATTTATCAGCAAAGGCTTCCGTTCTCATCCAAAGCCCATAGGGATGCTTCTCTTCACCACCTACTCTCTCTCTGCCGAACACTGTTTTAGGGAGTGACCAAGATGACATGAGTTGTAACAAAGGTTGGGTAACCTTTCATAGCAAAAACCGACTTTCAGTCTTGTTCTCCTGCAAAGAGATAGAGTTTCATCTATGCATTGATGATATACACAGTTTTAAGTTGATTTACGCCTATACTGTAAGGCTTTATGTTCGTCATTTGTGATAAATTTGTGATAATTTAAAAGTAATGCTGTCAACAACAGAGCAGCAAAATTTTAGTAACACAGAGCCAGAACAGGAGTAGAAGCACACTATCATCTTAGCGGGAGCGTGGCAGCACCTGACTTGGGTCAAGCATATTGATGCAATATCGACATGCATGATAATTGAGCATCTCATCCTTTCATTGTAATTGAAGTGTTGTCGTCCTCATTCTTGTCTTAATCCCATATTTTTCCGTATTCCAATTCAAGTGTCTTATAACTAAATGCCTATGAGACATTACTATAATCTAAACCAGAGTTATACTGCTTGTCCTGAAGTGCTGTTTGTATTTTCAATTCAAGTTTGAGAATCACTTAATCATTGAGGAATTGAAAATAGGAAAAAAAAGGAAGCCCAAGAATATAGAATCTAAACACCATGACAAAATATAAAAAAAATCAGCATTGTGATGCCAAAACATTATCATAGAACTGAATGATGACTTTTTATTGGTGCATCAAGAAAATACATCCAACAAAAAGAGACAAATATTCATTGCCAAGGAGAGTTAAAAAAGAACTGAGAGGGGGTGAATGGTATTTCCTTCTTGAGCATGTTCTATGAAGTGTGAGAGGGCATCAGGAGAGCTGTTGTATGTGTTTCTTTCCTGTAGCTCCAACATGCCACGACTTCCAGGCATCGGTATAATGAGCAAAAAGGTCATGTAGAGCTGCCACACCATTAACAAAACCCATCTTCTGTCATTTAATTGCTGCAACCATGGCGTGCAAAGAATGTAATATGTGCACATATGACGTGCAAAACAACATGGGTATAAATTAGTGAAGCACATACTACATGAGATAAGATGAAATTACATGGAAGAGAGGATATAAAGCATCAATCTGGTGTTAAAATTTAAGATCATCCATAGTCCAGAATCTGGGCAATTTAAGTATTCGGATGGAAGATATGATAGGCAGTAAGACAGCAACACCGGGTACATTATAATCTAGAGATACTATGAAACTTACTTTCAAATCCCTCTTTAGGGACGTATAGAGCTGTAAGATGAACCAAGTTAAACTGTGACCTTGCTTGTGGTTAGCTCAGTTCGAGGCTCACTTATGCTCTGCTACTGGGATAAACAAACCAAGCATAGAAATATTTTGGAACTCTCAGCTTGAACTTGGCTCAATTTGCTAATAAGATCCAAAGACTACTTTAGAAAAAAAAAGAAAACAAACTTGCTCTAGATATGTTCAAACTGCTCTTTCAAGATCGCTCATGAGATAACATGTCAAGCTCAAAGCTTCTTCTAAGGTTGGTTGACCTCTGGAGCTGAGCTTGAGCAACCTATTATTCAGCTTGACTCTGTTCACAGCCCTAGCCGGACACACATGTATAAGCATACTGATTTCTAAAAGAAAAACAAAAACAATATATGATATTTGTATGAAAACAACAGCACAGATCGAGGTGCAAGATAATTTCTTTTTCCATTTAAGCTTGTGAGTTACAAGATCAACAATCATTTTGACAGTCATTATCTGACTCAGCTGCCAATTACTGATTCACTATTTGAAGCGATTTTCATATCATATTATTTAATGTATCCATACTTCATCAACCCTGTGCAATGCTACAATTTGCAGGGCTGCACTATATGGCAAGCATAAATCACGAAGGTCATTAAGAATATTCATAATAAAGTATCAGAAGGTACCTCGGTTGCAATACTGAGGACGATAAGAAGAAGCCAGGTTCTCCCAGTCTTGAACCCGCCTTATATTCTTGTTTCTAGAATCTTCCACTTGGATGTTGGCAGGAGTAAAAGGGCCAAAAACAAAATCCTTGGAGCTGTGATTCAAATTCTGCTCCAATGAGTCCCTTCCATACTCATCTTTCAAGTTGTTATGTTTCATATGCATTGGCAAATTTGCCTTCTGGTTTGAATTCCAATCAACTGAAGAATCCCCCTTATATCTCTTTGAACTAGTATTTGTGATATCAATCCCGAACACTCTCCTTTTAGACTCGTTCAAATCCAAATCAGTAGCCGATGCATTCTTGAAACTTGCTTCCATCTTCAACCACTTATATGCTGGTTTCCCGCTTTTTGGGTGATGGGTCTGCAAATCAATCAAGCAAACCGAAGTCTAATGAGAAAAAAAGAAAAAGAAAAATCATATATAAGACAATGCTTTCTTGGGCTCATTTTCACTTGCTAATCAATCAAGTCGCAGAATATAATTTACCTTTTCGATGAGGTTCATGGAAGCCAACACATTTGCAATGTCATACAGGCGTCTGGCTTTTGCTGCAGAATTATCTTAAAGACAGTCAATCTAAAGAAATGTGTTCTTTTCCTCCTATATGATGCACTAAAATTTAAAGCATAAAGGTGATGTGAGGATGAATTACTTCTCATAGCTGTTGGATCATGGATATCACCCAGCAATTCTGTCGCTGCGTTATCAAGGGATATCAAATCCATCTAAAGGCAAGAGAAATGAGGATTGAATCAAGACAAATAAACCGGGTTGTAACAGTTAAACAACATAAAAATGTAAATACTTTGACATACATCAGAGCAAAGGAAAAGCCTGATAAAATTCCGCGCAAGAAGCCCCAGAGATTTCTCTTTCCTGTTCTCTGTACAAACAAATTTTAGAGTCAGGTATGCTGAAACTGAACTGACACAAATGAAAATACAGAAAGGAATGAAAAAATTACCAGCTTTCAATGATGCAAGAGTTTTTTCTTGCGTATCAATTTTGGAATTAGAGTCTCCTCCATCTTCATTTTCATTTGCAGCCTAGTTAAAGAAGCCCACATTAACCATAACTAGAAAACAACAAATGCACAAAACTCCCTTTGGTTTCCAAGAAAATAAAATCAATCTTAATTTCTGCATTACTTGAAATGGCCATGTAAGGACCCTTAACAAACTGAACTGACACAATTTACTTGGCTAAGTGCATAAAAATTCTTCAAATCCACAACATAATTAAACATTATTTTTTTTTTTATAATTATTATTATTGTTATTTGGATTGCTGTTCTCATTTTCCTTGGCAGTCTAATAAAGGGTAAAGAAACAATAAATTTTTCATTTTTTTTTTTTGGTTCTCTCAATCTATGAATGAATCAATGACAAATACCCAAATTTGACAGGCAATTTTCTATATTTGCAAGAACTAAATTGAAATCTTGACTACCTTGATCTCATATAAGGCCTGCGGAATTGCGCCAAAACCTTTCCAAAAATACTGATTCTTTGCTTTCCTTGATAAAACCTGAGAAAATTAACAAAACCCTAGTTATACTTGGGACATTCAATTCTGTAAAGAAAAGAACCCTAACTAGAGAGCTTTATAAACAGGTAAGGACTGTACTCCAACACTTTCTAGTATGTTAACAATATCGTAAATTCGCCTCCGCTCAACGCCTGCAATTTCACCAATACACAAATTCAACACATTTACATGATTTCACAAAAATGTGTGGTGATTAAAAGATGAGGTACAGACCTAATCGACTTGAGGCATCATCCAATTCAATCGAGTCGACGCCGTCTCGATCATACAGCTTCAAAAAACTGAACAAAAATCAATCAATAAAATGAATAAAAAGAAGAAAAAAAATGTATCAGTAGCCAGTAGATGAATATAAGAAACATATAGAAATTACTTGGAGCATAAGACGCCAAGAGATTTTTCTTTGCGGTTGTATGGATTTTTGGTTTCAGATTCACGAGGGATTAGCGACGACATTCTTCAACCAGCTTCGAAGATTGATCTGAACCAAAACCTAAAATCTAGTGAGAGAGAGAGAGGAGAGAGAGAGACATTCACTTGGCGGGTTAAGAAATTCAAAATGGTGATTCGGATCTGAGATTCGGGGTCGCAGAGAGGGAGAGAGAGAGAGAGAGGATTTACAGAGGTAGAGGGAATTTAAATTGAGTTTAACGCGCGGTAAAGCTTATTGTGCCCTTGTTAATCTCTTCTTTTAATGGAATTGTTGGCAACTTAACTTTTGTTTTCTTTGCGGTGTTTTTTCTTTTAGTGTTTCTTTTTCAACTTGGTAAGTTTTTTAAAAATAATTTTGAAGAAAATAAAATTTTATAGAAAAACCATTTATTAAAACAGACTTTCTTTAATTGATTTTTTTTTTTTTTAAATTGTAAATAAAACAAATTGTTAAATAATTTTTCATATTGAGTAAGACCAGCATATCAAGTTATACCAACGGAAATAAATTGATGGACAATAACATGCTAATCCCGACCTACCCTCTTCGAGGGGGACTCGGTGTGAGAGGCCTATGACTGGAACAACGTTGGCCAAATTCTTTGCGTGTGGAATTGTTTGTGTTCTGTTTTTGTTGTATTGTTGCTTTCCACAAGTATCAAAACATTAATAAAGCTGCCAATCAAGTGGACAAACTAGGTGGATTGAAAAAATAATTGAAAAGTAACCACTGAAAATTTTATTTGGGTAATACATGATTTGATTCATCAGCATTAATTTATCACTTTGTTTTTGCCTTGATTTTATTTATTTATTTAAAAGTATATTTTAATTAAGAACAAATAGTCATACAATCAACTTTTAGAACTCTACAGAATTAAGAAGGTCGTATCAAAAGAACCTTCCTCTCTTGATGAAGAGGGCATTGGACATGAGCGAGAGATAATAAGGGGTTAGTTGCAATAGGGAAGCTTGGGTACTTAGTGCATCGAGAAACATTAAGTTTTAGGTTCGAATCATTTCGAATGTGATTAATTTTTTAAGAGTTACAATTGCAGACATAATTTGAACTTTCTTCGATTCGTGTGGATGAGTCACTTTGTACGAGTTCTGTGAAATAGTCGGGGTGAAGTCCCAGACACCTCGACTATCGAAAAAAAAACCCTGAACGAGAAATCCAACCCAAAGACACTTGTCACCAAAGCACACCAACATTTTATCATTTTATGTCTTCAACAACAGCACTAGAAGGCGCAGAAGGCTTGAGAGAGAAAACAAACCGTTGTCAAGGCAGAACAGTGTATGCCCGGGGCACATGCCCCTTAGCCTCGCTTACTATAATATTTGTACTAAATTTATGTATAATGGCCCCTAAAATTTTTATTTTCTAAAATTATCTTTTAAGTTTTTATTACTTTTCCTTTTACACTCTAAATTTGTTTAATTTCCTTTTAAAAAATATTATTATTATTACTTTGAATCAAACTCTATTTATTTATTTATTTTTATTTTTTTAAAATTATCTCATTTTTCTTTTATTTTTTACTTTTTGTCAATCATTTATCTTTCTTATACTACTCATTGATTAAAATATTATTTTGCAATAAATTTTTTCCTTTGCCTGTCATGTTTTTTATTTTTTATTTTTTTACACTGCGCTCCCCCATGGAAAAATGAGAGAACTTTATCACAACATGTGGACTGAATCAACAATACGTGGCTCAAAGAGCGTTAGCACCACTGGAATTCTATCATGGTAACATGGCCAAATGGAGGCGTGAATCTTACAGGGAGTTTTAAGGTTCCAGATATCTTTCCAAGTGGACTGAATTTCCTGCCAAAGGCTTGGACCTATAGAGTTTTTAACTTGACAAAAGTCACTTGATTTTTTCACTTTGAAAACAACATTTCTTAAAAATATGTTGTATCAAGGACCTGAATTAACGTTTCATAAAAATATGTTCGATGTGGGTGCTAGCCAGATCAGGCTCCAGACGCTTTTTAAGTTTTAGGTTGTTATCATGACGGGTGTCGTGACCTAACTTAGTATTGGGTTTGTCTAGAGTTGGTTGTTTTGTTCATCTTTGTTGTTATTCAGTTTTGTGTTTTGTACGTGCTTATGGTGTTTTGCTGTGTAAGTGCTGTTTGGCGGTTATTTTGTCCGAGTAAAAAAAAAAAAAAATACTTGAATTAACGTTGTTCCTAATTACCCTTGATGTAGTAGTCACTGTGCAACACAAAAAGATACTAGACATGCCTTCGCAGAACCAAACCAACAAATATACAATTGAATTAATAAGAACGCATTATTACAACTTTTGAACTCATCTGTTTGCTATCAGCTAGCGCTGCTTCACTCGAAAACACAAACAAGGGGAGGCCAATTAGTTTTCAAGCCTCCTGAAATGATTCGCGACAACCCTGTGCGCGCCAAGCCCAAATTGCATTAGTACACTCGCTCAAAAGTAATTAAGAACTATAAGCATGAGAATACAAGTTTAAGTGAAAGAGCAGTTCGTTACTTTGTGAGAACTTAGATTTGTCTTCGGTTAATCTCTGAACCCCTGAACAAACGCATCAAGCAAAATATAAGAGCAAACACATTGTTTGCCATTCCACACTTTAAAGTGTGTAGCCACGTCATCAACTTTATATAAAGTGTACAGCCACGCCAGCATGTGATTGTACACTTATTTTAAAGGCTTTAAGTTCTTGTTGTGCACTCATTTTTTCATTGTACACTTTATTATATTATTATTTTTTAAATAATAAAATAAATTTATTATTATTATTATTATTTTCTTAACAATTTTATTCTCAACAACTATAATACTAATGGCTATAATTGTTTGCTCCGATTTAGATACAAGATTTTAAATATATATATATATATTAAAAAACAAGCTTCCTACAAATAAAATAAAACAGTACAACTTGGAAAAAAAAAATACATTAATACTTCCACACATGAAAAAAATATAGTAAACATTACAATTAATTGTCCTTTTTTGCATAACGCGCTATAATTTTATTTTGTTGATCCTCGATCCATACTTTCACCACCGGTGTTGCAGCATCATTTGGATTTTTTTCCATCATTTGTCTTTCCCAAAGAACTTGCTCCTGCTCAATCTCCATCATCTTCATTTCTTTTTGCGCTTCAAGCTCCTTTAATTTCATTTCTTTTTGCAGCTCAAGCTCCAATCGCCGTGTCCGTTCTTGCTCCATGCCCAAATCGAATTTCGATTTCATTTTTAAAGTACGAGATTCGAGTGCTAAGTTGTCCATCAACTTATTTTGCTCGGCAAATCCTTGAAACGATGTAAGAAATAAGTCATTTTGTACCTTATCTTTACTTTTACGACCCTTCTTGGCAGCTTTTCGCCCAATAAGTCGTGAAGTGTCACGTGAACTTTCGTCTATGGCCGGTGAGTCGTCATCGCCAAGGTTTACCGAACCTGGTGTTGATACTGCAGGAGTTAACTGAGTAGATGAATTAGTTGGGATTGAACCTGGTGTTGATGGAACTGTTTCGTAACAATCTCTAGGCTCATTCATATCAAGATCTATAGCTCTCTTATTTGTGTTTGGTGTTTGTTGTTTCTTCATTGTATCGCATTTTTAGAGCCATTTTGAAGATTTCCGAAGAAGATTCCAACAGTGCTCCAACTTAAATGGCTCCCCTTCTTCATCTTCATACAGTGCTTTTGCTGTCATGTACTATAAATATTAAACAAAAACTATATTTAGACAGATTGTCAATTAAAATAAATATTTATTTTTAAGGAAATTTAGACAGTAAGTGTAATGTTTGTGTCTTATATATGTATGTGGTGCATTTTGTTTATATGTGGAGTATTTTGAAACAAAAAGAAAAGGGAAAAGAAAAGAAAATCGGCGGGACCCACCACCCACTCAAACATATAGTTTAGAGACTTTTTTTTTATGCTCATTCTCTCTCCCCTCGGCCAGTGCTCTATCTCTCTGCCTTTTTCTTTTTCTTTTTCCTTTGTAACTTGAATCTTTGATTAATTCATCATCTCTTGGTAGATTTGGGTGCCGTTTGAGGCAAAACGAAGCTTGTGTCGAGTTCTACGCATCCATACCAACAATTCCAGATTTGGTGCACCTTTGAACTTCGAAATTTAGGACCCATTTTCTAGGGTTTGCTCATTTTTGAGATAGGGGCATCTTAATCCACTCTCATCTTGTTCCATTGTGAGTTATGTTTTTTTTGTTATGCTAGACATGCTAAATTTGAGAATTAATTGCTTCAATGAGGTGTAAGTGATGTTTAGAGAAAATTCATGTCTTAGGGTTATGACTTGTCTATGTGAAAAGCATGTATAGATGATGGCTTTGTGGTGTTTTTTGTGAATTACACCTCTTTTATGTGCTAACATGCTTTACTTGGGGATTAATTGTGTTAATGATTATTTTAATGTTGTCTAGAGAAATGTATGTTTATGCACATGTGATGTATTATGTGAAAAGCATGCCTATGTGTTGAGTTTATGTCTACTATGTGTAAACTTGCTGAAAGGGATGTATGAGACCATGCTTAATTGTATTGTGCCAAAATTTCACATTGTCATGATATTGAGATCATATGTACATTCTTGGACATGTCATTGGGATGCATGAAATGGGAGAATTTGTCTTGAAATGAAAATGAGGAATTTTTGGGAGATGATAGTTTTTGTGAAATGGTTTTGATAAACCCGGTCGCTGCGGGGTTACCAATGGGCCGGAAGTTAATATAGCCTAGAGGGGACTAGGGAGTCGCCCTAGTGTGGTTGAGTTAGCTGGGCCCCATAATGACGCCGCGGGGTTACCAAGGGTCAGAGACACTAGCCAATCCTCCTCTCGTGTCGCGGCGGGGTTACCAAAGGGCGGGCTGTATTAACGTTTGAAAGTGATGGTTTTGAGAATGAAAATGGGGAGTGTCATTGACATGCATTGCATTGCATTGGTTATAATTGGAATTGAATTGTATGTTGTATTTGATCCCCTACGTTGTGTGATCCCTATCTCCCATTGGCCTATGCTTTGCTTGAATTCACAAGGATACAAGATTTGTGTCTTAAGTGTCACCTACTGAGCATATAGCTCACCCTACTATTTATACATTTTTTTCAGGTTTTGGAAAAGAACCGGTGGACGACAACCCACCTCAAGGCTGAGCGATACTAGAAGCTCACTTTTGTGTCTTTTGTATATCTCCCATTATTTTTGCAAAGCACTAAAAGTGTGAAGGTGTATATGTATATTTTGCAAAACTTTGTCA